GAATTTCAAGAAGATGATCAAGTTTATCTGCAACTTTGCAAAGAATATACCACATCACTCAGCAAACAACTGCAAAAATTCAGTGATCAATATGCAGAATCTTTTACTATCATAAAAAGAGTTGAAAAGTTAGTCTGTGAACTGAATCTGCTGGACACATGGAAAGTTCATAAAACAGTTAGTGTCATCCATTTAGAATCAGTCTCAAACCTACCAGATTTCTTTAAGTGAACAATCCAGTCTTCCTCACCTATACAAATTGATGGCCATGAGGAATATGAACTGGAACAGATTGTAGCAGAATGCACAAAAGGAAAAGACACTAAAGCACAAAAAGAATACTTAATGTGGTGAAAGAGCTATAAACCCCAAGAAGACTTCTGATTAAAAGAATCAGAACTAGTCAACACCAAAGAACTATTGCATGAATATAAATATGCAGACAAGCTTATATAAGTTATATACAACAACAACAACATAAACAACTCATGGATGCTAAGTGAACATATAATATTTTACTTCCCCTAAACATTCTTCATTCTACAATTCCATCTAACATAACATATTTTTCCTGACATTCTTCACTCAGTAAGCTTCACAGACACAGCTCTATCACAGATCACATTAACTGAATTTTCTTTGTATTCAAGCAACTGCTCACTCACTTTGTATCCAAGCAACTGCTCATTTCTTACTACCCAAGCTTATCCATTCTCTTCTACTCAAATTCTCCTTGTATCCAAGCAACTGGTCATTCTCTAATTCTCAAACATCTGCCCAGCATGAACATCCCATCAAATACTAATGCATTTCCAAAAATCTCTATTAGAGCACCAAAGCCCACAATTCTATCTGCACAAAAGACCCTCTCTCATGCCAAAGAATGACATAAACTCCAAGATCAATGTGAAATTTCAGAAGACAAGACAGATTTTCAAGCAGACTATATCTTATGATTCATATCTGAAAATGCTTGAGTCAGACTTCATTCTGCTAATGGATGGAATTTCCAGGGCTCTTTGTCACACAATTCTCTGCCAGCTGCACCAGAACCATGGCATCTTACTTAAATTAAGATAGAAATGATGATGGACACATGAAAGAATAAAATTATGACAAACAAGCATACAGAAAATAAAATCATCACATAAAATTGCAATGAATGGATTTGTATTTGTCTATCTGCTAGAGCATCTTTTTTTGAGCAGTGCAATTCAGTGAGACACAATATTGATGATGACCATGTTTAATATGATGAACCTTTCATAATCTTGCAACAACAAACAGCAGCCACTTTAGCCCTGCAAACTCAAGCTGAACTGATCAGAGCAGAAATCAACAGAAAATGTGAAGAAGAGATGATCAAGTGAAGAGAAAGTCAGATCATATAAAAGCAGAAATTTCTTCAATGTGAATGATTCAAAAATCATAATATCATAATTTGAGTGTCAGAAACAACAGACATGATAATCAATGAAGCAATCAATCATCTAGAGAATCTCTCTGAGAAGAACTTTCAAAAGAAATTGTCAGTTGAATATATCAGCTGACCAGAAAGACAAGAAATCTGAACAAAGAAATACAACATGAAAGCTTCAGAAGACATCTTCAACTCTTCTGAATCAGAGAATAACATTCTTGCATTTCTTGACAATGAATTGTCAACTAGCCCATGAACTGTCCAAACAAATAATGATTCCACCACATCCATGCCAAAGCAAAACTGCAATAAATGTAAAGCACTGAGCAATAAAGCCACACCATGCAAGAAAAACACCCCAGTCAAGCAAAAATTAACTCAAAAAAGTAAATGATTGCTCAAATCTGCTGAAAAGATCAATCCACAGAATGATATCTTGAAATGCAATACTATTACATTCTCAATGAATGATAACATATCATTCCCTACATTCTCTGACTATCATGCTAACAGTTCACTTGATTGGGGAACATCTAGAAGCCATCTATCATCAGAATCAGATGAAATGAAAGTGTCAATCTCAAATGCAGAAATAACATTAGCAATAGAAATATCAATACACAATGAATCAATGTCTCAACTACTACTGAACTCATCAAAAAACATCAATAGTGATCTCCCTGGTTTTAACAATCTCTTCTTCTGGAAGTAAGAGCTGGTATCACAACACTCTCAAGAAGAATAAGTACTTTATCTGCAAAACAGACAGTTTCCCATCTTTTATCTTTCCACAGACTTTTCAGCACTAAATGCTGATGACATTCTTACCACAGATGAACTAGACACAATAATCAAACAATCAGCAATATTAAGTGGATGAACAGCAACACTCATTAAGTACAAAAATGCTTGATATGCCATGATCACAGATCAATGTTTTGAATTCTTTCAATTCTTCTCTGAACAGTGAAAATTCAACATGCCAAAGCCAGAGAAACAACATCTAGTATCCCAAGCCCTCATTACATCAGTTGTTGATATCTACTTTAAAGAACTGTTAGACAAAGTTCAAAAAGATCATCAACAGCTATTATTGAGATCTATAAAATATGAACTCATTCACTTTCTCTGTTGATTCTCTGGAGAATTCATCCAAATACAACCCACTCACTGATCTTGACAATAGCAGTCATGTTCAATCACTCATCACAAAGAGTCATGTAACTATCAATGACCTCTAGACTGTGCAGAACAGCAAGAACTCTTCATTTAACTTTCATGCCCATGAAATAAAGTTCTAATAGCTGGGTGAAAGTGTTAGCAGAGTTTCAGATGTGGCCCAACTGCAGAATGAAAGCAATCAGAGTCAGTCAGTTCTGATGCAGATGACATTTGTGAGTATGCTGATGATGACTCAGATGAGTAAAATCTTTGATCACATATGTTAACACAGATGCCATCTGCTCAATCATGGAAGCAAGATTATCAATGCTGATGTTGTCAGTTAAACAGATTATATGAAAGCAACAGAAGAAGAGACTCTGACTCTGAAGAACTGTCAACTCTCAACAGACAAGATGCACTATTCAGTTCAACATTATGTGCTGAAGACTCTGACTATGAATCACTGCAATGTGGAAGAAGTCATTTCTTTCTAGCACACTGATCAGATTATTGACTCTTCATTTAAATGTATAGAACAACTTCAATTCATCACTCTGAATTCATTGCTGGATCAGTGAAGAAACAGACACTTAAAGACACTGAAGCAGTTGAAATACAATGTCAATCTTTTTGCACTCTGATAAATACTTATCTGACTTCAGCAGATGCTGAAGAGCATCTTTTAAGAATTGCAACTCTGTCTGAGAGAAACTCTCATCAAATAAACTATCTGTGAAACTATTGAAACTGATCTGCATACTGAACAGGCTTAAGTCATTCTTCTTCTTCAACTCAGACATAATGATATCTGAATTCAGACTATCAGAGCCACTGTTCTCACTGCACATAAGCAAATCTTCAACAAAATTCTGAACTTATCAGAGATTCAAAGCTGACTGATCAGCTGTCTGCCCAGCTTCACTAGCCTCATTGAATTCTTCACACTCAGTCAGATCACTGTTGGAGAAAATAATCATATCAATAGACAGTTTCAGATGTGCAGATGTAACAGACAAGCAACACTCAGATGTCAGCATATTGTCTCAATGTCATCTATCTTCTCAGACAACAGAGTAAGAGATCTCTGATGTCAGAGCACACTGAATTCTGACTGCTGATCAAGTGAGGAGCTGTTTGCTGGTGATCAGACTCAAGAATGTCTGGGAATTAAAGTGAAGAAAGACAGTGTGCAGTCATTTTGCTGAATGACTCTGAGTGAAAGAGTAAGACATTGAAGACAAATAACTGATCTGAGACTCAACAAAGATAACTATGAAAGTATTCTGACAATAAAATGTGAGCTGCATGGAGAGTGAACAGTTAAAGATGTTGAGCAGACTGTTTCAGAGATCCAAAATTTCACTAAGTTCAACATCTGATCAGAGAACTCTAACAAAATGCAAAAAATCAGCTCAGACCTTCCACAGAATGTGGCAGAAATTATCTGTAAGGATCTAGCTCCAAAGCTTATAATTACACTACACTACATTGGGGCTAGCCCATTTCTGACTCATCTGAAGTGGAAGGTCTGAGGGTATGAGGCAAATTGTAGATCTGAAGTTATAAAGGGAGCCCATAGTAACTCATATTGTATCAAGTTCTTGAAATCAGATATTCAATGTTGAGATTACCAGCTCAAATCGCAAATTCCAAATTTGTATGGGAATTCCAGAGTTCCTCCTATTTTTGTGAAAACTGGCTCAGACGCTGTGCTGGTCAGGCTCTGGCAGAATTACCAGAATGGGTTAGTTCAAAACACTAAATTCGCGCTAAAGAACCTTAGCAGCACGCGTCTGAGGGGATGAGGTAAGTACGGAGTATAGAGCGGGTGAAGCTCTCGAAGACACTAACAGGCTTGGCAAGGTCACGGGTGTGGTAAAAACTGCTGACATAATGCTGATAATTTGACAACAATTCGCCAAGCCAGATCTTCACGTGATTATCTAACCGCTTTCGGCCCAGGAGATCTCTTATTATATAAACCGCAATGCAATGCTTCGCCATCCATTTTCCACCATCATCTCACAATCGCGTTGCTGATCTCAAAAGGATACTTTAACATTTCTTCCTGGAAGACATATTCATATCTTCCTGTGCACACATATTAGAAGAGTCTCAAATTTGCTAGGGCGCGGCGAGTCTGCCACCTGTCAGAACAGTGCCCACAATACACGCGACAAGGAGGATTAGCAGCACCGTCTTAAGATACGCAGTATAACTACCGCGCGAAGGATATGAAACAGGTTTCCTGAGACGGATTGCTTCTTCACACCCTACAGTTCCCTGTTTATGTATTACTTTAGCAACATTCGATACCTGTAGACAGGGGATATCCTCGGTTTCCAGAATCAGCAAAACCCACAATTGCGACCTTCCAACACGCGTAGCTTCTTGATTAAATCTTTATTCATACATCATGGCTGGTGAGCATTTGTATCCCATTTGTATGAAAGGCGAAGACTTCGTGAAGTACTTCGCGATTTCCGGAGTCTTGTCACATATGTGAATTTACACTAACCTTTCCATAGAGGAGCCGCGACGGTCCGGCAGAGCGACCAAGGGCCAGCACAAAAACCTCGATATGCCCGAGCCGCCCCCCTCAAAACGAAAAGGCAAAACACAGGGCCAGAGAAAGCAGACATCAAGCGAGGCAACACCCCCCGCCGCCAATGAAGAGGAGGAAATAATTCGCTGTATCTGTGGCGAATATGAGGAGGAAGAAGATGTCGAACGCGACATGATTTGCTGCGATAAATGCTCTGCATGGCAACACAATGATTGCATGGGTCTTGCTTTCGCAAAAGGCGATGAGCCTGCAGAATATTTTTGTGAGCAATGCAAACCAGAAAATCACAAAATACTTCTCGAAAAAATGGCGTGTGGTGAGCGACCATGGGAGGAGGCAGCACAGAAGAGAGCTCAGGCTGCCGAAGAAAAGAAAACTAAGCGCAAGAAAGGCGGAAAGCGTGGAAGGAAGAGCAAAGCAAACGATATGAAATCTGAAATGAGTGACGCTGCTGCTAGTGGCGCCGCAACACCCATCCGAGAGACCGCAAACGCCAACAGCGAAGCTCAGAATACCTCTACAACAATCACTGGAAAACCCGAATCTCCCAGTGCCCAGAAAAGGAAATATTCGGACCAGGCAGATAGCGGGCTTCCTGAACCTGTAAGTTGATCCACGGCACTGCCTCAAGATCATGACTGATATACATATAGGGTCCTAAATCGAAACTTCAACGACTTTCATTTAGTAACACACCAGGTGCACCTCGGGAAGCGAAAGGTTCTCCCACACTAAGCAGAAAAGCCAGCGTGGCAGGAAGCCCTACTACACACGGGTCAAATACAAGCCATTCTCCTATTGACATAATTGGTGGTAGTATAGACCACTTATCCCAATCTAGGAAACCGGTTGCAAAAGCTTTAGTCAGGCTCTTTGTTGAACTGGCTGGAGTAGCCCAAGAGCAAGGGAAATTTGCAATACCGGGAGGAAAGACTAAGCAGAGCGTAGGAGAGGACTTGGGGATTGCCATCGAGCAAGCAATGTATCAAAATCTCTGCGCGGGGTCGGGAGAGCCTAATCAAACCTATAAACAGCAGCTGCGGACCATATTGTTCAATGTAAGGAAGAACCCTTCGTTACGTGATAGTCTGCTCGTAGGTCGTATTTCTCCCGATAGCTTCTCCAAAATGAGTACGCAAGATATGGCCAGTGAGGAATTGCGACAGAAAGACGATGAGATTAAACGTGAAGCAGAACGACAACATACTATCGTCCAGGACACCGGCCCACGCATCAGACGAACTCATAAAGGGGAAGAGTTTGTGGAATCTGACCCTCAATTCGTCGGGACCGAATCGGTCTTCTCTACCGCTATTGCTCGCCGAGATACCCTTGGAGATGCCGCAAGCCCTCGTGCCGGAAGTCCACAAGCAACACGAACAGGACCAGACACAGGCCAGCAGGACCAGAACCCTCCCCTTATTGATACCCGACACGGTGCTGGTGGTACCGGGAGATCAGCTTCTAGCGACTTCAACATCCAAAATGTTTGGTCAAGTGTCCAGTCCCCTGGGGCCGCTCCGCATCATGATGCACCGCAATTTGGACCTCCAGCATTCCCACACAACCATCTACCACCATCTCAAAACAACGTGCAGGCAGATGCTGAGATTGACAACTTACTGAAGGATGAAGAGCCGGAGTCTCCTCCATATTCACCCAAAGACTTTCCCGGGCCAGATATTATCTGGCGCGGGAAGGCTTTGATGGATGGCGTAGCCGGATTTTCTGCCACAGCACGATATGTTGGCGGTGCAGACCTTAGCGGGCGGGTTCCATGGTCCCAATTGGTTCCTCCTTCGCTGGTTATTGACGGCCGAATTGATTTTCAGCTAGCAACCAACTATCTTTGTGGGCTTCGATATAGCCACACGACAGATATCACTGTCATTGCCATTCCTCCACCAGATACCCCTGACGATATTGCCAATTTTAATAATTTATTCGACTACTTTGTTCGACGGCAACGATATGGTGTGGTAGGAAAACATCCACTTGCAACAGTAAAGGATACATATCTCATTCCAGTCGAGGCAGGTTCGGGCAAAAAGCCTGAATTCATGGAAATTCTCGAGAATAATACGATTGAGGACCCAACGCCAGAACGGCTATTACTCGTTGTTTTTGTTGTAAAAACAAATGCCCACCCATCCAATTCAACTCCTCAGGCTCCCTCAACAGCGGCTGGTGGATCAATGCCAGCCACACCAAGCACTGCCCGTCCTCAGTTCCAGTCTCCCATTAACACTGAACCAAAAGAACATTCACAAACGGCGCTGCATGCGCAAATGCACCCTCTCCCAACCCAGCCTCCAACTACCCAATTTCAACCCTCCCCATTACCGCTGGTTGGAAAAGCGGCCGCAACTCATGTTTTAGGCGAGCAGCTTGCTTCGACATCGACCATCGAAGAAGTGTTAAAACACGCCCCAAATGCGGATATCGCTCAATTCAACGTCATTGCAGAGATAATATCAGGCAATCCAACCGCTGCAATGAGCTATGAACAGTTAATGAATGCCCTAATGGATAAGACAAATGGAGCCATGTGATAACCCTGGATTATTTAAGCTGTCAAAGCCTTTACCTTTTTTCCTCTGTAATTTCTATGCAGAAAAATTTCTTGTCCCGATGGACGTTTATCTGTCATGCTGAAACAAAATACTACAATGGGTGGGATGCATTCAACAGGCCTTTTTCTCATTAGTGTTCGATAGTATTATCATTAACAAGCAACAATTACTAGAAAAATTCTGTACTCCACTTGCATTGACTAATTGGACTTCTGAAAAATGTATTTTATCACCTGAGTTTTCACTTCAACTTGCTCTGGTTGCTGGACTACTTTATATGTTAGAATGTGAGCAACCTCGAATTTCAATTGTCAAAGGCCATGAGTAAAAGTTCCGCTTAATGGAACTATTCTTCTTCTGTAAATGGTAGACAGTTGAAGACCATCACAAGAACTCTCAAATGAAATCTCGAGTATTAGAACTCACAAAGACTGACTCTCTCGTGAATCTCACACGAACTGAAGGCTTTGGAGTAGATATTAAAAAGAAAAGCTACCTAATGGCAAGATAATGACACCGAGACGCCTGCGCTATGCTCTTTCCACCTAACGAAAGGAATCAAAATCACCATCTGCCTCCGTATCCACCACCACCTCTTCGCCTTCCATATCCCCCACCGCTTCCACCTCCACCACGATAAGATCGCCCTCCATAGCCTCCACCTGCTCTCGAGCCCCATCCGCTATCCTCGTATCCCTGATCCCGACTGGGCATTCCGTCATCGTGTCTCATGGGCGGTGCCCCCTTTAATTCCTTCTGCAATATGCCATATGTTTCTCGCATTTTGGCATACCCAAGGTGCATTTTACCAAAGAAATGGTCTGCAAGACGACGGTCGTTATCGAGCCGACTAAGGTATGCACCGCATACATCGCAGACTTGGAGCTTCTGGTGGCCCGAGGGCCCAGAGGTATCAGAAAGAGCCTTTAAATCTCTTTCATATGTATCTTTCTGATGTTTCGCTTGTCTAATCTTGTGGAATTCCGTGACCGCGAGTGAGACAGACCCAAGTTCTCCGAGTATGCTGACTTCATCAAGTCCGTTGTTGATTGTTTTATTTAGCTCGGATATTTGTCGTAGCTGCAATATTTATATTAATATATGAAGGATCAGATAAATATAAAAAATAGATATATTACATACGAGATTGTTGGTCTGCCTTATCTCATCTGGCGTTTTCTCTAGGCGGCGCTGCGCAGAATCGATTCTGCGATTGCATTCGTCAATGTACTTTTGCATATCACGCATATAATCATATTCAAATCCCCATTTAGCTTTTTCATGCGACGATGCAGTTTCATATTCCGTTTTAAGGCCTTCATTATGAATCTTGGGGCAAGGTCCAAGATCCTGTTTTGTATTCGTGAAAAGATCGTGGGGGCATGTGCCCACCAAATACGATCGACATAGCTTTGGATCAGTGATGGAGAGCTGAGAATTTCTCCCAGAGCCGCCGGTACCGATGAGCTGGTCGGCTAGACAAAACAACATTAGAGATATACGATAAGTCCCCATCGAATACTCACCTCCCATCAGCTGCTCCAGAAGCTTGCGCTGCTCTGCGGCCATCTTAAAACAGTGCTCCTCCTAGCCACGCAAATAGCAATCTAATAGATAGGACTGTCAGAAATGAATCAGTAGCGCAACTGACCCAGCTATTCAAGGGGCGGGCTGCGTTGAGTGCTACTTATTAACATTTGCTAGGTTTGGTCCATTTTTTCGACGAGTTAGGTTAGTTTGCGCTTAACTAACTAACTAACTAACTAGTTAGCCGCGCTGACTTGCGGAGCAGCCGCAGGATGGAAGCGCGACACCACTGCAACCAATAATGGTTCCTCACTCAGGCAGTTAATCAAACCAAGTCCCTTTCAAGATAGCAGTACTTCCTCTGAGGCCAGCAGCCAGCATGTTGCAATGACTCCTATTTCATTTCCCCGGTTTTTTACGGTCGTTGTATGGCTTTTGTTTTCTAATGTGGCATTTGCGCTCTCGGACTACGCGGAGCAGCTTCTCCTCCAACCTCTTCCTCCTTCGTCGCTGCTAGCTTCATTTAGCTTCCGAAGTAATGAGTCAATTGAAGCATTTCAACAGCAGAATTTTAGATATTTTCCGCGCTCTTTAGGGCAGATTCTCCAACACGCACATACGACAGAGCTGCATCTGCGCTTTACCACCGGCAGATGGGACGCGGAAAGCTGGGGCGAGCGCCCATGGCGTGGCTTCAAAGAAGGTGGGACTGGCGTTGAACTTTGGGCATGGATCGAGGCTGAAACCGAGAATTTGTACGCTTTGCTGAACACCCTACCTTCATTCCAATACCTGACCTTTTCCTTCCTCTTAAATTAGGGCATTCGCGAAATGGCTCACACTTACACAATCTCTTTCTGGCTTATTCTGTGCCTCGTTAAACTTTGTTGATTCGACGCGAACGACCAAACCACATCTTACATTTCAACCAAGAGGAACCCATTCGACTCCAAAACAACGTTTGCATCTACTTCATGGCACTTTACCAGGAGAAGTCATTTGCACGGAGAATCTGACGCCTTTTTTGAAACTACTCCCTTGTAAAGGGAAAGCAGGAATCTCAAGCTTGCTAGATGGCCATAGACTCTTCGATGCAGCATGGCAAAGCATGTCCATCGACTTTTTGCCTGTCTGTTCTAGTGGCGGCAGAGAATGCCACATTGAGATTGAGCAGTCTGTAGATATGGTATTGGACATTGATAGGTCAAAAAGACCTAGAGGCAAGCTCTTTCTATCTCCTCTCAGCTGTCTAGATATACTTGCTTATTTCTCCTATAGATAACCCTATTCCACGTCCTGTTTCCGTGGCACAGCTTATATGTGATCAGTCTAAAGCCCATCACGAAGAAGATACGTGCTATCCCGTAGCTTCCACAGCCGCAAAGGAATGGAGCCTAGTGGGAATTTTCGGCCGTGCAATCCCAACGCCATGTCCATTATCGCAAGACGAGGCCCGTACTGTTTGTATAAAGGTGCCGGCAGAACTGGAGGTCCTTACAACTGCCGGTGCCTTTGAGATGAAAAATCCGGATGGTCTTTCTCGTTGCTATACTCTCCTAGGAGATATCCCATTTAATCTTCAACTTCCAGCTCAAGAATGGAACCTCCAGGTTCCCTTGACAGAGCCAGTACTACACGCTGAGAGAACAATGATCGGCCATGGCCAAGAACATGGTGGCTTAAGGTCTATTTTGACCAACCCTTCGAATACCACAGCTGTTGATTTTGTTTACTTTGAAACTCTTCCTTGGTACATGAAACCCTATATTCATACCATGAAAACAAAAATAAAAAACCAAAGTGGAGAAACATATGACGTACCACCTGGGGATATTATTAAAGATGTATTTTACCGACCAGGAGTCGATCGGAAACGTGGAACCCAACTGGAGCTTGTCATGTCTATACCAGCTAGATCGACGGTGACTCTTATCTACGAATTTGAGAAAGCCATCCTTCGATACACTGAATACCCTCCCGATGCCAACCGGGGGTTTAACGTGGTGCCGGCCGTGATAAGGATTCTTCACAACGGACTCGACACTATCCATCCCGTATCTTCCCCGATATATCTTCGCACCACCAGCTTGCTCCTTCCTTTACCTACCCCAGACTTTAGTATGCCGTACAATGTCATTATTCTCACTAGTACGGTTATAGCATTGGCTTTTGGAAATATATTTAACCTTCTTGTTCGTCGATTCGTTGGTGCAGAGGAAGCACCTCCATCAGGCCTCAGAGGGATTGTTCAAGGTGGTATTCTGGTCTTGAAAGACAAATTCCAAGAGAAAAAAAGAAAAACTGAATAGATTTTCACTCAATCCTTTTCTACCTTCGCACCTTAGCTTTGAACTAACTCAATCTACATTCCACTTATTCGCTTCATCTCTATACCCTTTTTCCATGACCCACATTGCAATGTTTCTGATAAATTGATTTGGGATAGTTGAAAACGCATCTGTATAATTAGTCTTTAGTCTATCCAATCCAGCATAGAAAACATAGTCCTCATAATTCATTCCAACTAAGGCTCCAACTCCAAAGGGACCATTACCCAGAAAATTGGTGCATAAACGTTGCTCTTCAGGAGAGATTATTTGAAAAGTACTACAGCGCATCACAGAGAGATGTTAGGTAAACAAAGGAGAGGCTTCAGCCAGTCTCGGAACTTAGGCCGCTTGGGCCGTTTTCTGGGCTTCGGCTTCATGCAACTCGTCGACATGATCAGCCCACGAGCCTTTGAGGGGTACTGGAGAAAGAGGCGTGTCAAGGTTCATATTGCTAGGTGCAGGCTGGTCACCCGGAGCCCAGCTGCCTGTTTCATCGTTCTTACTGCTGGGAAGCGCGGGAAACTCGTTCTCAGCTTCAATGGAAAGGACTTGCTGTACATTGTCAGCGCCCTTTAATGACGCGTGTGTTGAAAGCTCATTTGAGCCTCTATTATATCCTCCACGATCTCGGCCACGGCCATACCCACGCCCTCGTCCGCCGCGGTCGCCCCGATGGCCGCGTCCCCGGTGCCCATTGCCGTATACTTTCTCATTGTCTTCTAGTGGCATCCAACTGTCTGTTTTTGGTGTCTGATTCGCGACGCTACCATGCATTCCTCGACGATAGGCACCACCATCGTTCCCAGGCAACTCCTGCGATTTTTCGGCGTCCCACTCCCGACCTGTTTGCGCCTGGAGTTTTCTCTGGCGGTTCCGTTCACGTTCACTCACCATAGCACGATGGATTTGGCGCTCCTGCGAGCGTTTTTCTGCAGCGATTTTCTCACGCTGGTTAAACGAGGCTTCATCCGCCTCCGCGCGGGCATGGGCGGCGGCACGCTTTGCGGCTGCAATCTTGATGGCAGCCACACGCTCCGATAATTCTTCTTCTGTGAGCTTTGGCTATATGTAGGTCAGTCCAAATTGTCTCCATTGCATAATAACGCACAGGTCCAAGTATCCGACTCTGAGAGGGGAGGGCGAACCTTTTTCACGCCACCAGTACCACTCCGGTCTCCCCGAACAGCCGGGACTTTCTGTTTTGTGATATCTTTTTGCTTCATATCGTTGTCATCCTCGCCGATGACACCAGATTCATCTGCCGGGGGTGTGACTTTATCCAGTATGCTGTCCCCCACACCCTGGGTCGCTACAGGTGCGCCGTTCACATTTTCCTTTGTGGTGGTAGTGTCCCGTCCTGCGGCCTTCGGCGCTTTAGCATACAAGGCGCCCCGGGGTGCACGGTTTCTGTGATAACGACGAGTCCTAGAGAATCCTGAGCCACTATCAGGGGGCGGTGGATCTTGCGGCGTGTGCGGGGTTGCTTGGTCAGATTGCGAGTTAGAGTACGGCGAGTTATCGTCAGGATATTCCGCGGCGGCTTGCGACGGTAAGATGGGGATTATCTCGTCATCGAAGAGGTCATCGACGCCACGGGTTTGCGCGAATTCGTCCATGGCCTGGGGTGCGAGGCTGGTTGGATTGGTGTTGGGCGTTTCTTTGAGGGGGGGTAGTTATGTATGCAGTTAACTAGGTGATGGCAGGGGCCAGCAAAGGGTGACCACTGTCTGTCTGCTCCGTAAGTCTCAAAATAATAATAGTTGCAAAATAGAGAAGCTAAAGGCCCAGTACAGATCCCGACATCCCCACGATACACTAACCACTAGTTAGCTAGGTATCTTTTGGGTTGGGGCTCGAAAGGCGTGATGACAAACTTGTTTTAGTTTTACATGCGGAGTACGGAGTAGTTAGTTAGTTACTACATTGCCAGGAGAGTTTGGTAGTAACCGGTACCTTCATAGCAGTTGGTACGCTCTTCTACTCAGAATTCTGCGGTGAAGCAATCTCTACAGCGCCGCCGTTGCTTTGGAGCCCCGTGGTGCATGGTTCCAGCGTTGCCTGAGGCTTTGAGGCCTTGAGAACAACCTCCACAACCGCTGCGGGCAATGGGAGGGTTGAATGGCAAACACAGATAGTCCAGTCTGACTCATTAGCTAAAGGAAAGCCACAGTCCCATCTGCTGCCTATCATTCCTTTCGAGGGCTCGCAGAGGGAAGAGACTCGCCACGCCAAAGCGCTGTCGCCATTCATGGCTGCACCACGACATCAGACCAGCTGTGTGCTTCCTTCTATCCACGGCCATAATTGACTTTGGCTCAGCTCCGCCAGTGGAGATGGCGCAGGCAGCAGGGAGAAGCGAGAAGCGCGCATTGCCGGGCGTTGGCGAGCCTAGGTACCCAGTACCCGCGTGCGACTGCAAATTGGCGGGCATCGGGCAGCCACTGAAGGTACCCTGTACTTCGCCAGTCATCGGTGGTTAGGCTGGCTTGGCGGGCCATATTTGCTTAACTAAACTGACCACCTCCAACCATCCGCTCATCGTTTCTCCTCTCAATCTCCTGGCTCTCTTGACAACCCCCCCAGTCGGCAGCTCTTTGGGCATCCTCGTTTTGGCCACCATCCTCGCTCCCGTAATGCTGGCTCCTCCGTATTTCTCGCCGTGTTCGCCCTCTTGCTAATTCACAGCAGTCGCCATTCCGGCCTGTGACGTGTACGATCGCCTACCATTGCTACTGCTTCGGGTGCGTCCCGTTCTCCATCCTGCTGATGGCAGGTTAACTACAGGCAATCCGTGCAATACACACATATGGCCAAGCGAACTGCCTCCGCTGCCCATCGACCTGGACGACTCTCGGATAATCCGGCCGTCGCCGCTCCTCCTGCTCGCACCTTCACTCCCTCGGAAGCTCCCCTCGCCTCCACATCACCCTCTCTGAGGTAATTTCCGACGTCACCCTTCGTTTTCTATCCCAGCCCTGTGCCTCTATCGTGCCTTTTGTTGTGAACTATTTCTTTCTCCCAGTGTACGTCCGACAATTGATATTTGCATCCTGCTCGCCCTGAAACGTAAAATACTCTTGAGTTTCTTACTCTATTTTCCACTTTTCGCAAATTAAAAAAGAGCCTTTAGGAGTAACAAGAGTTCTCATGTCCCCCAGAATCACACGCTCCGCTGCAAAGCTCGCTGCAGAGACTCCATCCACGCCTGGCACGCGTACAGACCCACCTCCCACCTTCAACCCCTCGGCCACATCCCAACCTCGGAAACGGAAAGCTACAACTCGTCGAGATAAAGACTGTCCAAAAACCGACCAAGAAGCCCATCCTACGTCCAGCTCACCTCCACGGCGAACAAAGAGGCCGAGGACTACTGCCCAGACTACCAGTTCACTCCCTGGGCCCCGTACTCGCTCTCCAGCCCCACGAAAAACCCGTCGACAAGCAGAAATGTCCCAATCAGGGTATGTTCAGCTCAGCCTTTGGTTCTTTTGTGGACGAGGCTTTCAAAATTGCGTTTTCCTGTTATAACGAACCCGATACTCTTACTCCCATTATTTCTGCAGCACTTTGGCTAGTATCTAACACTTTTTTGTAGGTCCTCTTCGCGCCAGGGTGAAGACCAGTCGAAACCTCCAAAGCAAAAATCAGTCAAAGCGAGGAAGCCATCGCAAGGTAACAAAAAGAGCATGTCCAGTATTCCTAATTCCTCTCATAAAACTCAGCTTCCTAACTCTTGACGTTTTTCCCTAGACACTGGCTCGAATCAAGTGCCCAACTCCGAACACTCCAAGAAACAGCAGAGTAAAGGGGACTCGGATATTACAATGAATGATGCGGATGATATTCAAAATGACAGTGTGGGAAAAAGCGGAACCCGCATGTCATCACCGAACCTCGGTGGCCAACCGTCAAATAACTCTAGTTTACATGAAAGAGATAGCGATGATCCTTTCCGGAATCACTTATTTGGATCTCGGAGCCCCTTGGAATTGCAAAGCACTCTTCGAGCGCTGAGTGGAATGATGTCTGGTATCTCCTCCAGATTAAGAGATATTCTTGTGAATCTAAGAATGAAAGAAGATCCATCAATTCAACTTATTGCGTTGCAAGAACTTTCAGATCTTTTACTGGTATCCAATGAAGATACACTTGCTGGCCAATTCTCTTCGGACTCTTATGTCAAAGAGCTTGTTAGTCTAATGGAACCTGGCGAAAGCGGCGAAGAGAATCCAGAAATCATGTTGCTTGCGTGTCGCTGTCTGGCAAACTTGATGGAAGCCATTCGGGGCTCTGTCACGAACGTTGTATACGGCGGTGCAGTTCCGGTGCTTTGTCGAAAGCTTTTGGACATTCAATTCATCGATCTTGCGGAACAAGCTCTAAGTGTATGTCCCTTTGCCCGAAAATATTTTGCTCGCTTCTCAAAATATAGTAATTATTGTTCAAGCACTAACGGTTGCAGACACTCGCCAAAATTTCTGTGGACTTTCCATCTTCCATCGTACGCGAAGGAGGGTTGACAGCGTGCTTGACTTACCTTGACTTTTTCCCCACAAGTACACAACGTACAGCTGTTACAACAGCTGCTAATTGCTGTCGTAATCTTCCTACCGATTCATTCAATGTCGTCAAAGACGTAATGCCCACATTACTGCATGTCCTTTCTAGTAGCGATCAAAAGGTCATGGAACAGGGTTGCCTTTGCGTTTGTCGAGTGGTAGAAAGTTTCAAGTACAAACCAGAGAAGCTGGAAGAATTGATCAAGCCAGATATGCTCAGAGCAATCCTGCGTCTTCTCCTGCCGGGGACTACTAATTTGATCGGCTCGCATATTCACACTCAATTTTTACGCGTTTTGGCAATAACCTGCAGATCAAGCCCTCAGTTATCAATGGAACTTCTTAAAATGGATGTTGTCGATACACTTTATCAGATTTTAACCGGAGTGTCTCCCCCATCTAACCTCAATGATGGTCTGGTCAAGATAGACAGCGTTCACATAATGCAGGCTCTAATTCATCGACCACGAGAACAAATATATGAAACATTAAATGTCATCTGTGAACTCTTACCCAATGTTCAGGATGAAGAAGCTCTTGTTCACAACCACGTGTATACTGCGTTTGAGGAAGATATTATGCCATACTCAAGCTCTCGCAGAGAAAAGTTGACTGAAAAACGGGTTGGGTTGCTCAAATCTTGCCAAAATGAAATGAAGAGATTTGCTACTATTCTTTTACCCACTCTCACTGATGCATATTCCAGCACAGTCAATTTTGGTGTTAGACAAAAAGTGCTTCTTGCGCAGTTAAAAATGCTTCAATACCTAGATGTTCAGATTATTCAGGATGCTCTCCGCAATGTACCTTATGCGTCATTTTTGGCTGCAATCTTGTCCCAAGATGACCATTTGTTACTTGTGGCATTGGCTCTTCGGTGCGCGGAGCTCCTATTTAAACGCCTAAGAGAGATTTATCAGTATCAATTTCACCGAGAGGGTGTCATCTCGGAGGTTACTAAATTTGCTGAGAGACCCTTACCAGCTCAAGAACATGCGAAAAAATTAAATAAACCTGCCGTGGATATTGAAAATGAAAACAGTTCTGATGATGGAAGAAACGAAAGTCATACTCATGATCGCAGTGAGCCTCATGACAATGATGGAGACAGTGATGAGTACGATGATTATCATGAAACCTATATTGAAGATCATGATAACGTCCATGATCATGATAATATTTCGGAATCAGGTGACTCCTCTGCATCAGACGCCGTCCAGTTTCCTATCCCACAGTTTACAAATGAGAAACTAGTGGTTGACTACGCGAAAGATTTCCTGCAGCTTTATGAAAGCACCAAAGGCATTGAGCTACATGACAAGGCATTCAAAGGGCTTCAGACTCTGAAGTCGCTTGTCTTAGAAATAGCAAGCTGTTATCGCTGTTCAAAGACAGACGATGGCTACTTACTTTTTCAACGGCTTTCCTCATATTTCTGCAACGATGCTATCGACAGCATCACGAGTGCAGAGCTTCTCAATTCTGGCGTAATCCAAACCTTATTGGATGTTATTGGTAATGGTAAAAGTGAGTACTACCTTAACAGATGCTATTTGAAATATATTTTGATGAAATACCTATAGTGGGGACTACAAGCAATGCTCGAACCGATTTCTTACGTGCTTTTATGGCTCAGAATAATTCCAACAGCAGCGACACTGCAGCTCCCTTTGGCATTTTAATCCACAAATTGCAAGACTTGCTTAGTCGAACAGAGCATTTTGAAGTGATCACTGTGCATCATAACTCTTACGAAAGTCGAAACACGTCATCAATGCTGTCTAAGCAGATTCGTCTCAGAATACTTGCTGAAGATGAATCAGACATTCCAAAATCGTACCGAAATATGATGGTTTCCATCCACGCAATTGCAAATTTCAAAGCACTTGATGAATATCTTCGGCCAAGAATAGCTCTATCAGAGCGACCCAGGTCCAAAAAAACCATTGACCCGATCCTTTCGCAGCCCGGAAGTTCTTCTCGAACGAAGGAATCCTCAAGTGATGGAAGAGCCTTACATTCGACTGATAAGAACAAAGAGCCTACTCCTACACGGCTAGGGTCATCCAGAGCTCGTAAAACTACCCACGCCTCCAAAACTTCTGATAATACAAAAGCCGGTTCTAGTACATCCCCTCAAACAGGGCCATCTGGGAACTCAAAAGATCGATCTAGCCGTTCTTCTCGACGGTCGACCAGACGACAGCCTCCCCCCCCACCTCCTCCGGCTCTGGATGATGAGAGCGAGGCGTCTGATGAGCCCTTGGAGTGCGTGGATGAACGGAGACTTGCAGCTGATAACGGCGGCGATGACGACGAAGATGATGAAGACGTTGGTGGTCCATTGGACGCCATTGTCGACGACCTTGATGGAGATATGTCTGAGGCTAGTATTGCTGACCCAACAGCAGTTAATATGGAAGTTGCTTCCAGTGGGAAGGTGACCGCCCGAAGGGATGATGGAACTCAAATCCCGACGCCTTCACAGTCAGCGTCTACAGCAAATGCCCCTTCTACGTCGGCTTCTTCTGCTGCGCAGGCCTTGCGAAATTCTCTGGCATTGGCAGGTCGTCCATTTTCTTCATACGCGGCTGCAATGGCTTCCATTCCCCAGGACTGGCATATTGAATTTAGCATTGATGGTAAACCCATCACACATGACACAACAATTTATCGGGCAATTCATCACAAACGTAACCCCGTGCCCGACAGCTATTCTGGAAGCGTGTGGTCTAATATCCACACGATTCGCTTTAAGCGTGTGCGGGGCCCTCCTCCTTCAGAGCCTTCTAGACCTACTACAGCAGTGTCCCAGATACCTGAGAGTGAGGACAATGAGGAATTACCAGAATCCCTGATGGAGGCCGCAACTACTGCTGCTATTTTAAGACTGCTACGTGTTTTACATCGACTGAACTCTCAATTAGATGATATATTGGCAGAAACGAAAGAGCCTCTAGGAGCTGTTGCGGAGCCACTGGCACAATTCATCAACACTAAGCTTACAGCGAAATTGAATCGACAACTCGAAGAACCATTAATTGTAGCCAGCAACTGTTTACCGAGCTGGAGTGAAGATCTTGCACGTCACTTCCCGTTCCTTTTCCCCTTTGAAACCCGTCATCTCTTCCTCCAATCCACATCATTCGGCTACGCTCGCTCGATGGTGAGATGGCAAGGCTCCCAATCTGCAGATGACAATAGAAATCAACGCAGAGAAGATCGCCCTTTCTCTCGGCTTCAACGGCAAAAGGTTCGGATTTCGAGAACTAGGATCCTGGAGTCCGCTATGAAAGTAATGGAGTTATATGGCTCCTCTTCCAGCGTTCTCGAGGTAGAGTATTTTGAAGAAGTGGGCACTGGCCTAGGGCCAACTTTGGAATTCTATTCCACAGTGTCAAAGGAATTCTGCAAAACGAAGTTGAATCTTTGGCGTGAACACGACACCGATGGTGACGAATACGTCTATAGCAAGCGTGGCCTTTTTCCAGCTCCTTTGAGCTCGGAACAACTGGCCCAGGATTCGGGCAAAAAGATTTTAGGTTATTTCAAAGGCCTTGGGAAGTTTGTTGCGCGTTCCATGCTAGACTCGAGGATTGTTGATATCGCATTCAATCCTATGTTTTTTCGGATCTCAAATAACTTGTCGACTTTTAAGCCATCTATTGGCGCCATTAAAGCTGTGGACCCTGAATTAGCGAACTCGTTGCTGACTATCAAACAATTCGCCGATGTAAAGTCTGAGATCAAGGCCAACTCCTCTCTAACTACCGAACAAAAGGCACACGACATCCAGGCATGCGAAGTGGGTGGCGTAAAAATCGAAGATATGGGGCTAGACTTCACTTTACCGGGTTATCCTAGCATTCAACTATTACCCAACGGGGCCAATGTCCCGGTTACAATGGAGAATGTTGATCTGTATGTGGATACAGTCCTCGATATGACTTTGGGAGGTGGGGTTTGTGAGCAACTTGAGGCCTTTAGATCGGGATTTTCTCAAGTATTTTCTTACTCTGCCCTGAGGGCCTTCACAGCAAACGAATTGGCGATGTTATTTGGCCAGGTGGAAGAAGATTGGACAATTGAAAGTATGCCACCTAGTAAATTCTCACTTTTGGAACTATGTTGTCTGAAACTAACCTATTTTGCCAGCGTTGATGGATTCGATGAAAGCCGACCATGGCTTTAACATGGATTCCCGTAGTGTTCGAAACTTGCTCGAAACAATGAGCCAGTTTGACCTACAGCAGCGTCGTGATTTCCTACAGTTTGTTACTGGAAGTCCAAAGCTTCCCATTGGGGGTACATATATTCATCTTAATGGATCCGATTTCATGGAAAAGTCTTTAACTGACATATTGTCTTAGGTTTCAAGAGTCTTACCCCCATGTTCACTGTGGTTTGCAGACCAAGTGAGCCTCCGTATACGTCCGATGACTACCTTCCCAGCGTGATGACCTGCGTCAATTATTTAAAACTCCCCGACTATACGAGTGCTGAAATCCTTCGAAAACAGCTCGACATTGCTATGCGCGAGGGCCAGGGTGCCTTCCATCTCTCGTAAACGACTCTGTTCTCAAAACAGATGCCATACCTGCCATCATATGAGTTGGGAATCATATCTTTTCCTTCCAGAAATGAACGCGAAAATTGTCCCTAGCCTTGTTTTATTAGCCCAAATCGCTTTGTTTTTCCCACAATACATATAGTTAGCATTTCATCGATTTAATTGTTTTGCTTGATCGTTAGACAGTCGAGGTTCTTAATTCTCAAAGCATGATGGAAAATGGACAAACGGAACTGGTTGGGTTGATTTTATGGGGCAATTAACTACTATCCGCGACTTAAGAAAATGCAATTTGGGCGTTTTGAACAAAAGGGTGTAACGTGCCAATTAATATCTAGCTACATAGTGAGTCTTTCGCTTTTATGACGTGACGATCTTGACTTTTATGACGTGCCTGATATTATCATACCTGTAGTGGCGTCGAAGTTCCAGAATTTCCGCCTAGTCCTGGGCACCCAAGTTTCAGCCCTGACACCATATTATTACCGCACGCTTTGTTAGTTAGTTAGCCCAAACAATAATTTGTCATTCTTTTGAAGGCATGTGTGAAAAGTAATATTGAGAATGGTGATATCACAAAGCCATTTGCCATGCAACTTTCTTCTTTCTCATCGCCTTCAACACGCCAAGTGGTAAGAACGACCGATCCACGATGCTCAGGCCTCCACACTTTGCCACCAGCTCCGCTGAGTAGAACTCGATCAGCCACCCAACCTCAGGATCCACGATTGATGGGTTTAGTTCTTTAAGGTTGGAAGGGTGCGAGCTAAGCGATTTCAGTTCCCGTTGCACTTTATGAGACAGTGCCATTTTTTCCATGGGTGCAGCAAGGTTTAACTTGCTGAAGACTATACTGAAAGGGAGGCTGGTACATTCCCGCCAGCGGGAAAATTGCTCAAAAGAGAAGAATACTTTAGCATTTTCGCTTGATGGAGCAAAAAGATGCAAGCCAGTTTCTTCGTCTTTGGGGAATACTTCGCGGAATCGACGACGGCGTTCATGCTCTGACAGATTATCAAACTGACGTTTGGCTTCTCGATAGGCTTTCTTCTCTTTCCGAAGGAAGTCACGAATGAGCTGCTCTGGATCTTCGCAGATATTTGGGCTCACCAGGAGAAGAGGCACAAAAGGATTATGAAGACCAAGACCACCAAGCGCTTCAGGCATATAGAGAAAAGCATCGGGAATATCAGTTACATTAAACCGTGAGGAAATCATGGCTTTCAAGTGTTCCGTGACACTATTACCGTTACCATTCTGACCATCGAACAGGAATTTTTGAATAAATTGGTGGGTCGAAAGAATCGCATTCAAATGTTTGCGCCCAAAACAATTCGCGGGGCTGTAAACATGTCAGTCTGGGCACAGTTTTATCATGGAATGAAAGATAAATAACGTACTCTCCAAAGGTGTAGCTGAAAAATCGGCCAATACAGCTATTCCACGTTTTTACCCATTGTAGTACACTGGTTGCAGCTTTGAGTTGCTTGTGTAACTGTGTAACATGTTGTTTAACGTGATCCTCGTTAATCACCCAGTCTCCAGTTACGGGATCAAGTACCAAAAAGTTGACTGTAACAGGTCCTTGAGGGAGAGTTTTTATAACTTCAGGACATTTTATGCGGCCGGATTCGGCCAAGTAAACCGACCCCGTCTTACTTTTGTTGAATTCGAGGCCCATGACATCAGCAAAACCCCGCATAGTTTTCCATGCTTTTGCACAACTGGTGGGTTTCCCACAAAGCCATAGATCGTCATGGAACCGGTACAGTAGCATGTTTGCTTGCCGATTGACAGCAATATCCATAAAGAATAGGACCAGCTCCCCAAACAGTTTCTCAAAGATATGTGCCATAGGGAGGCCACGTTTCCGAGTTCTGACTGGTCCACCAGTCAACATGTCTAGTGGTGGCTCAAGGAATCCCTTGAAGAAACGGATCCATTCGTCCGGGAAGCCAACAAAACGTAAGACTGCGAAGACAGTACTATGAGCCAGACCAGTAGCAAACCACTGAAAGTCACTTTGTATCACGGCTACTTCGCCGTCGATCACTTTTCCGATAAGAACCTCAGTTGCCAAAGTTCTCAGCAGAAGCTGTTTGACCTCCTTAGGAGAAAGCTTATCAGAATTTTTGGTGTTCATGCTCTGATCATCATCACCGTTGGAATTATCATCGGCATCATCGTAACCAACGGCATCTTCAAACTCACCGCTTGGCATGGGGGCCAAAAAGAAATTTTCGTTGTAAATTTCATGTCGCCTCTTTTCCACTGCATGCTTGGTTGCCCAAGAAGAAACACTCTCGTCCAAGTAATATCTCCGCAGAGCTTGATCTCCGTCTGGAATCGTGGTGCCTTTGGTCCAAACACCAGTTTCCTGGATGACGGTTTGTAGTGTCTCCTTGACAAATACACACCATTTATTACCAATAAAATGTGAGAGTAAAGCCTGAAGCACATCCTCATCCATCATAACCCGCCATTTCCCATTCAAGCTTTGACGACTAAAAATTCGTTAGCAGCCTGCAGTGGAAGTAGAATATGGTTGATACTTACGGCAAAACTGGCATCCCTTTTCCGCCTAAATTCCAGGACCAGTTACTGAGGTTGGTGTATCTCATGTTGAGTACATTTGCAATCTCGTCTAGGACAGTGTCATCGTGAAGGAACTCGCCTAGGCTTGCCAATTTTTGATCATTCAACAAGTCATTCTTTAATAAAGATTGAATACAGCTCTTCAATTCTGTTCTCCCAACTGGGCGTTTTTCAGAAAACAACATCTCACCATGATCTTTAATCGCTGATCGCATGTTACTCAAAACTTTTTCACCGTCATCTCCGTCAAAAAGTGATTCTAAATACTGGGTTATTTTCTTTTCATCAGTTACCAGTGGTTCAAATACGACTTTTTCAAATCTTTCCCTGAGTTGTTGCAACCTTTCCTTCTGGATATTTTCCACGACATCGAAATCGTCATCAATGGCTTCGCCAAGTTCAGAACCATGTTCGGCGGGGCTAGAGGTATTTATCCACTCAATCAATAAGCGTGAATATAGATCAGCCAGGTCAAGTTTACGGGTTTGGCGGTCGAGCCTGGAGCGCAACTCGGTTTCAAAGTCAATAAGCATTGATTCGGGGACTGTCGGGTCATATCGAGACTGTTCGACCCAACGGGAAATATTCTCCAGCTGGCCTGGAGGCAAGAGCTCCAGCTCTTTGACGCCATCGTGGAGACGAGAAATACGCTCCTGTATGCTGCCATGAGAATCGCAAGCGGATACAAGAATTTTTGCCTTAGTCTTCTCGTATGTTTGGCGTTGTTTCTCAAGTTCGTCGATTTTTGTGGTTGTAATTGCTTGAAGAGTCTGGGAGAGAACAGACGGTGATGCAGCCATGATGCTGGAGTATTACTTCACAAAATGAGATAGCAAATCAATAAAGATTGTCAGGAGCAGCTGAACACGAGAAAGACCGATTGATGTGATGCCCTGAAGAATGGGATCCCGGTTCTCTTTATAGCTCAGAATATTGCATTTTTCAGTAGGCAACAATGCCTATATTTTCTTCTGCTTTCCAGAAAGACAAAGTTCTGTTTGCCATAGTACTAGGCACCTATAGGCAACAGAGTCTATGATGACGGTCTTCGACGTTGGAGCCTAGATCGTGAGTACGTTTGGTAGCTTGGGATAACGACAATAGGGTTTCCCCTTGACAATAGTCGTCCTGCCGGACCAAATCAGGAGAACTTTGATTGAGTTTTGGATCCCCGAAAAACTGGCGGGGCTGCTGTCAGCCTGAAGCTAAATTAAGAGTCTCGCGAATTTTCGCCGAAAACAGCCTGGGTACGAAGTAATTATGCCGCCCATGCATGGCGCTTGGGTCATTTGAGCTTGCAAGGAGCCCTCAGCGTACACGCCACGAGCCCTGGGCGTCTATTTTATACGAGAAGAAGTCAAAGTTGAGGAGTTGAGAGGTTCCTGAATGCCTGTTTGGGCCGTGGCCGGATATAGGTTGCGCCGACGCCGACAGCCTTGGGCCGGGCTGCTGAGATAACTAAGCGGCCTGTGACAACTTGCCAAATCGCCGGCAAGTCGTCAACAGCTGCCCATCCAAGACAAGCCTGAGAGACAGCCAAGGGCTTGTGGCATCGCCTAGCCCAAGGCCTGAGACAACGGTTGAGCACATTCCACTGATTCTCAACACGCATTTTCAGGGAAAACGGGTCGAAACAATGACGCTCTCTGGCTCTGATTCAGCAGCCAGCGCAACTATAACGTTGCTCGTGAGATTGAGCCGGAGCTGCCCCAGTTAGATGTAACTATATACTCCGTTCACAGGAGTGCTCTAAATGGTATTTACTGGCATCAATTGTTACCGGGCTCAGTTAATTAGGTTGATTCAGGCCGAACTGCTCCGAGGTGTTGCAAAGTAGCTCAACAGGCCTTGTGTGTATGTAACGAGGTTGAGTTACAGAGCATTACCAACATTTCTAGACAATACCAGTGCAATAACCTCGTAAATTACTACTATGAACTGTATGATACTGTATTTCTGTGATTTGTCCAACTGATTATCAGTGATATCGTTACTGTATATAGAAACGGCATAGTTTGAATTTTTAACATATATCCCTCTCAAGATATTTCTATCCATATTGAGTAGTACTTGATGTACTGGTGTATATTCAGTAACTTTACTTTATTATACACAGTCAAGAACTGCTGAGTCACTTTGCAAGGTCTGGGGACCGTTCAGCCCACATGAACCCGGTTACGCATTGGTAACAACAGTGTTTAGCACCAGTAATTACCAGCTAGAGCATCTGTGGACCACCCGGGACCTCAAGAACTCATAGAAGAAGCGTATTCCGTAAGGCGCATACATTCGGAGCACATATACTCCGTGTTGGCCGGATCGGAATAATGGGGGTTGAAAGCGAGCACCCACCTCGTTGCGCCCAATAATAGGAAGAAAAAAGCACTCACTAAGAAAAGTCACCTCCCGCCATGCCATGTGATATTAGAATGATAATGCCATTTTCCCGCTCCCTTTCGGGAGATGCCATGTACCCCCGCAGAAAATGCGCCTTCTTCCCTGCCATACAACCAACACTCCATCAAACACCAATAGACACCAATTTCACAATAACTCCGTGAATATTCCGTGAGTAGAAATTAAAAGGGCCAGGGGCCATTACTTGAAGTCACTCAGATTTAGACCAGCTAGTCTCTCATTGCATTTCTTCAGTGTAGAGTCAAGAGAGCGAATGGCACACTTTGAATGCTCGTAAAAATAGATGCTGGTGCGTTGTGCAGCGGGGAAATACATCCCTTGTCGGAAACGATTATCTAATTCATCAAAACACAATCCTATAAACGGTGGGTCTGGTCGATGGGGGAATATTTTTAGAGTCCGTAATCGCTTGATGAGGGAGCCCAACATGAGGGCATCACATTCAAAGCTGCAGTGTTCATTATTAGTATAGTCATCAATGTGACTGTAAAGCGTATCCATTAGCCGGGAAAGGGTCTCCTGTCTCCGAAGATCAATCGCTTCTAGCCAAACTATTAGTATATCGAACTAGAAAACCTCTCCGTTGACATGGTGGGAGGAGCGGATCTTTGTAACGCACCGACCACTGCAGAGGGAATCGGGAGTTCTCCTAGAGGAATAGCTTGTTTACCTTGACGGAGAGCAAGGCGAGTGACTATTGAAAACTCCTCTGGCCGATTGAACACCCAGCAAACACAAATCCACGCCGGTATATCATTGGTGAAGTGGCTTGGGATGGTGGACTTTAGATTGTCAAACCAGAAAGTCGAGAACAGCTCTACAGCTTCGTGGACATCATATTTGTCCACCAGAATAGCCAGTTGAGTCAGCGTCGAAAGATCCACTCTCAGAGGCACTTTCCGCACACGACCGTGGATAATGTTCAAGAGAATCAACAGTGCATCTGGGTCATCGTCAGGAAGCGCGATGTCAACCCTTCCCGTCAAGCTTAGAGTGTTACTTTCGGCAAACTGTTGCTGAAGCATTGCTCGAAAGACGGACGAAGCCAGTGTCATATGTCGAGAGGAAACGTGAATCAACACCTCTTTTCAGGCAGAGTATAGTTAGCCCGGCGTTTAATAAGAGGGCCGTCAGAACCACTTCATACCTTCTTCGATCATGACATTATCTATTTCAATTTTGACACGCATATCACTGACTGGTCCCTCGGTTACCATGTCTGGACCATCAACATAAGCCAAAAGCCGAGTCAGCATTAGCGTGACATCCCCCTCCGGGTCGAGCCGGTGCACGTCTGTTGGAAAGTGTTCGCATTTGTCGACTGGGAGCTTGAGCATGACGGGGGAAAGGACTTGCAGAGTAGAAGGCATCTTTCCGAGATGGCTGAGCAAGTAGGGCAAACAGGGAAGGTGGGCGAAGTTAAGGAGGGAACCAAGGTAGAAAGGTACATAAATGGAGAGTTCTAGGAACCACATGAAAGGAGGCAACTAGCTGGTAAAGGAAACTCTCGCCGCCTCGCGGAACCAGCGTGGTATTTCTGAAGTGGCCCGGATTGCGGGACAAGCTTTCTGTTTTCTTATTTTGTTTTGGTTTGCGTTTGAGGCGTGAAGATCAAAGGCTGGTGAGGAAATAGCATTTTCTGGGATGCTACGTGTAGCGCAGAGGAAGTTAAGGAAAGAGGATGTGATCTAGATCCGCGTCGGAGAGCAGAAACAGAGCTTGATAGGGGGGCAGGATGCGGCCCCAGTGACACGGCCGGGCGACGAGGGTGACGAGTCAGCGCGGCCCTTGCTCACCTCCATCAGACCTCCGTCCTGGCTCCGGCTATCGAGAACGGAGCTCGAGCCGGCGATCCCTCAGGCCTGTCCACGAAGCCCACGTTTCCCGCCATGGCATCGAGGGATTCTGGACGTGTGCGCGAACGTGAAGAAAGAGACTTTGGGGCCGAGAGCCACACTGCTGAGGAACGAGCAGCAGCCGCACTGCCTGTTTCTGGCATGCCGAATCCTGATGGTTCAGATCGCAGATGGCGGAGCTTGATGCTGGCTGGAGTGGAGACGGGAGATGCAGGCCGGCGAGGAAGCCTGCAGCTTGATCGAGGCCCCCGGCTGGTCCGTTATCTGTCGGCGCGCGGCCCATGCGATCGCCAGAGCTGCACCTGGGTGTCACGCTCATCGCAGTGCCAAAGCCCTACGCGGGACCCAGTGCAGATTTGCCGGCTCCCCTGGCGGCGCCGTGGTCGACGTACGAGACAGGATCCTCCCGCTGGCCAGCTCGCTCTCCCGCCACTCTCCGGGATTCCGCGCGGGCCGGGCACTGTCAAAAGCAAAAAAAATTAAATTAAAAAAAAACAAGCAGGGAAGTCGGCAAACCTGGTTCGTACGTGCATATATAACGATGGATGTCCGCAGCACGAAATGCCCGGCTCGCTCCCCGCACTGCCAATTGGCCCGTTCCGGTTGTTGTCTGTCGGCTTGTTTGCAAGCGACGCCTCGCTCACGCACTGCTGACGAGCAAATCGGATACCGCACCGGCCTGTCGGACCTGTTGTGTACGAGGGCGGCTGGTGTGTGGATGTGATGCCTGTGTTTGTGTGTGTCTGTGCCTCCTGGCGGACGAAATGCAACCCTGCCCAGGCCGGCGACCTTGCTGCAATGTCCGAAATCAGAATGGCAAGATGACAGTCGGACAAGCTGCCCTCCCGGCCCACTGTCTGCGCGCGCCTGTAGGCCACTGCATTCTTTGACGCGCCATCGTTGCGGCCAGAGTATGTTTCTGGCCATCTGCTTTGGTCAGTTGTTACAGTCCGCTGGGTCCCGCCGGCGCTGTGATATCGTTCTCCCAGCCTGCTCCTCCCACCTGACACGCCGGGCCGGCTGAACAGAACACGAACACGGTGTTGGTCGAGCTTCCAGCCTTTGTTCTCCGAGATTCCCATGTTCTCCAACCCCTCCCTGCATCTGCACGCCCCTCGGTGGTCGCTGTCTGGATGAACATCGCCTGTACATGCAAACATATAGTTATCCAGTCCACACCCACGCGCCGAGAGGGGCCACTTGCATGCCCTCTGAAATGCCGCCGACAAAAAGGCCTCGTCGCCGTACCCTCGCCAAGCTGGAGTGTGTTGCAGGCGCATTTAGCATTCGTGTCTCTTCTCGGGTCGTGCATGTTACACCCGTTCAGTGCGCGCTGTCCGTCCTCGTCGCCGTTTACTCTGCTCGCCCCCGCTTTGTATCCCTGCAAGAACGCCGAGAGGCATCCCCCAACACCCAATTTTTGAGAACAAAACAGAAACCAGGCCCTCCAGTAGGGATCTCGAAAGCCAGGTCGCAAAATTCGGGCAGCTAAAGGCTGCCATCCCGCGTGCCCGTCCGGATGACCTGCAGTCATCTCTAAGGGAAGCCCGGCCTGCATGCACTCGTTCTTTCTGAGAGCTGCTAATATCGCCTTCGAGACGATCGTCTATGGTCGAATGCCCGTACTAGGAAAGTGCGCCATCCAAGGGCATCACGCCCGTTTGCTGATAGCTTGCCTGTCATCCTTAGTATCCTTGATATGCACGGAGTACGTAGCGGGACCTTCGCTTTGCTCGTATCGAAGTAATTAAGAAAACGCTCTTTTTTCACCAACCGACGTGAGCGCGGCATCTTTCGTTGGTCTGACAATATGTTGTTCATATATTCTTTTGTTTGATGTGAATTGAGTTCCCGATTCTTACGTCTGACGCTGCCCAACGAGTGTTTAAATTTTGTTAGGTGAGCATTCGCCCACCAATCTTCCAACAAGGCCGGCATAGTAGCAGTGGCAGTATGTATGTATGCTCTGATTGCCACGGCAAGTCAGACTCAGCCACCCAGCAAATTTCCGGCTTCAGTTTCTCGGGCAAGTAGTGATACAGCGCACTCGGAGATCAAAATGGGGAAAACCAAAATTATCAAAAGATTGCAAGATGATTCTTCTAGTTATATCCAAACAATAACCTCCAACAAAATGATAGATAATTATATATAATTTTGAATGTATGAAAACAATGCGGTATCAATCATAAAGCCCATGTTACGCCCAGTCGTTTCTATGTGCCGAAACAATAAAAATGGTTGATTCCATTGGAAATCAATCGTCATATATGATCCTGCCAGACCTCCTTTTCTTCCACAAAAGCAACCGCATCTCCAGATTTGTCGTCCGTGACCATAATCACACGGTTGTAAGTGACGGTGGCATTCTTGCCCTCATTCTTGGCTTCGCTACTTGGGGTGTCCCCGCCACTGAGAATTTGGCGTGTGGCGGCGATCGTTGATAATCTTGAAACTTGGATCCAGTTGGGTTTTGAAACAACATGACTATCCCCATCAAGATCACATAGCTTTGTGCCTGGGTCGTGAGTGTGTGCAAGCCCACGGAGGCGAGTAGGTGAGATGACGTATTCTGGGGTCAATAGAACCCAGAAGCTACCTGCAGGGGAGCGCACTGCGGCAGCTAAGGCATCTGCAATCCGACTTGTAGACGCCAGATTTTTATCATGTGAAAGGACGGGTATAGCGGAAAGAGGCGTTGCAAGCTCGGATATCAACTTTGGATGCATTGCCCGAAGGGGCGGCGTCATAACATCCGCTAGGTCAGGGATGCCGTTCAATGGGCACGACGAAGGAGACGTAATAATGCTAGACAAAGGTGTGGTTGAAGCAGATGACAAAGACGAAGAGGAAACTGAAGATGATGTGGCAAATGCAGCTCCAATCGCGCCTCCGGGATGAAAACTTTTAAACACCTCTGCAGGGCCTCTTCCTGGTACAATGTGCAACCTGCGGGCGGTCGCAAGGGCCAGTGCGTCTCCAACTGCCAACGCCGTAGTTGTGGAGGTTGTTGGGGCCGGTAACCCAAACGACACCTCTTCCCGTTCATGCACGGGAGCGGGGAGAACCATAATATTTCGAATATCAGGCTCGGACACCAAGGCACACGAGGACAGCTGCATATGTGACGTAATCACTATCAACGGCAGAGTGGGCGGAATGTGCGGAAGCAGCATCAATAGCTCCGAAGTTTTACCAGAATATGTGATGAAAAGGAGAGTGTCATTCTACAGCCATTCAAGTACGGTCAGCTCCTTTGTATGTATAAAGCGAGCAGGTGAGAACATACCTGCTTTATCATGCCTAGGTCTCCATGCAGCGCCTCAGTCGGGTGCAAGAAACAGCTATGGATACCCAGACTATTCATGGTCGCAACTAATTTTTCTCCAATCTTCCCGCTTTTACCCACGCCACACACAATGAGCTTCCCTCCTCCATTGATTGTTCGTGCTATCTGCTCGACAGCGCGTTCCATATTCTCCCTTGAGAACTTGTCCGTCGCATATAAGCGCTCCAGATTAGCCAGGGCCGCGCGTTCAGTGGAGATAACGTGGACCACCGTGTCCAACGAAGGCACAGCCATACCATTATTCGCGATCAGGTCGACATCAGGATCCGGAGGAGTCATGGGCAGTGGAGGAACCATGATCATCGATGCTCTCCGCGGAGCGAGTGATGGAGAGGGGGGCGAGGCTTGCCGGCGCCGCTTGCGAGCGAGAACAGAAAACGTCATATTGTTATCCAGGCCAACACGATACAGACAGCCAACGAAAAAAGTGTGTAGATGGAAGAACGAAGCCCTGGTAATGACTATAGGGATATCATTCAACGTGCTAAAAATCAAGAAGGAGCAGCAACAGAGCCGAATGACGGCAAACAGATGAAATCGAGAGTCTGACGGCCGTATACCGGCGCCCTGACTATCGCTCCATACCGGGGACTTAAAGTGAAGAGATACCAAAGAAAACAGCACGTTCAAGTCCTAAACACGACTGCCTGTGAGCACCAGTCGAGGAGACGGATGGGACGAGAGAGAGCGCGGGTGAAACCGGCGCAAGGACTGGCCAGCACCAGGGGGTGATAAGGCGGGAGACGGTGCGCAGGGAGGCTGGCAGAGCGTGAAGCCAGACGTCGCAGCGGAGGGAGGGCGCAGGAGAGGCGGAAGACAGAGCGACAGGCGGCGGGCGAGGGCGGAAGAGAAAATCGGCGTACCGGGCCTGATAAGCAAGCAGATTGATAAGATCTGCGGCGCTTCCCAATCGGGATTTCGAGGGGCGAAACAACCCTGCGGCAGCTGAGTCAGCGGCGGGGCTGGCGGGCGGGCGTGTGGCAGCGACCGCAATTTATTGTGCTCAATTGTTCACGCCGGAGTGGAGTTGCACCGCAACACCGACCCTCACCAGCCAGCTTGGAACCGCTTGTTAAGGCCGGGCGGGCACACCGCCTCCGTCGCTTCCTGCCGCTGGCCCGAGGAAATCCGCCGCCCGTCTCCGCCAAACTATTAATTTCAGCGTGCCAGGCACACACGTTGACGCAGAGTTGTGTTGTGGATTAACCGTTCAAACTCTCCGGCGAGCGAGGCCTGTGTCCTCTGCTTCGGCGAAAAAACCTAAATTGCGATGTGGCTTCTGCGTTGATCCATATTGTAGCCGGGGTGAATGAGTAATAAAACAGGGCCATGGGGCAGCCTTGGCTCTGCTTCATCTGGCAGCCCCTGTAATGATTGGCAGCTGTCACACGGTGAGAAGCCGATTCCTAGGCGTAAACAATGGCAGGCCTGAAACCAGGAAAAAGAAAGACTTAAAAAAGTATAAGAGATGTGAAATCAACAAGCCATCGACACCAAGTCCAGCCATGAAATGTTGTTTATAGTACATATACTGACAATATAAAAAGATGAAAATGAGGAGAGAATAGAAGCCCAGGCCATACCTCAATGCTTGACAAGTGCTGCACGTCGAAGGTCATATCATCAAAGCTGGCAAGCTAGGCCTATTTCTTCAGCGGCTTCACTCCCTTATGAATGGCAGCAATGCCCATTGTGAGGTTCTCATAGCCTTGGCCCGGGGTGATGAATCCAGCAGCTCGGATCATACTTCGAAATTCCTCCTGGGATGGGAATCGTTCAATGCTCTCCACTAGGTACTGGTAGCTTGCACGGTCTCCCGCAACCAGCTGGCCAATTAGTGGGATAGCCCTGAAGCTCCAGCGTTTGTATAGCTCGTCGAACAGCCCCACCGACACCTTGCTAAATTCCAAGCATGCAAACACACCACCGGGCTTCAGTACGCGGAAAGCTTCTTCCAGCGCCGTTTGTTTATTTGTGAAATTACGAATACCAAAGGCAACCGTATACAAATCCACAGAATTGTCTGGAATTGAGGGAATAGACTCCGCATTGGCTTGCATAAAAGAGAGGCGCTCCGAGTTGAAATAAGGCGTATCTAGGCTTCGCTTTTTACCTTCCGCAAGCATGTCGGGGTTTATATCCGCCACTGTGACGCGTGTGTGATGATCATTGTTGATATTAGTAGCATGATCTAGCATCCGAAAGGCGATATCCCCAGTTCCACCTGCAATATCAAGGATGTTCCAGCCTTTCTCGCTGCCTGCTTCATTGCGGACATACTGGGAGCCGGGGTTCAACGATCGGACGAAATAATCTTTCCAAAGACGATGTATACCAAGTGACATGAGGTCGTTCATTGTGTCATACGATGTTGCAACAGAGCTGAACACAGCCCCAACTAAAAAGTCCAGTCAGTTCAGACTTGCTTCAGGGCTGGTTGAAAACCAGGGGTAATTGGATAGACATACCCTTTGACTCCTTTGCTGATTCAGGAATTGTTTCGAATCCGAAATGCGTAGTTCGTCCATTGCTTGCCGACTCCTTTGTTTGAGCTCGATTCTGAATAGAACACGAAAAGCAGCGGTAGGGCGCCTTGATTGGTACTTGTTTGCGCTTTGCGCTCCAATGTAAACTCCGCCAAACCGGTCTAGATGCCATTCTCACATTTAGCTAGCCCAATGGAGCCAGGTCCTGGAATTGCACGAGCTTCAGAATGGTGCAGCAGGTGAAGCAGTTCCTGATACAAACTCGTCAAGCTTTGATTAATAAGCATAAACACGAATTAGACTAGTCTCCTTGCTATGTCAGGTGATTCTTATCGATAAGTGCCGCGCTTCAGCAGCGCCCGGTTACGTAATGGTACAAGGACAGCGCTTCGGCCGACGCCAGCCGAAACTGACCGTGTTCGGTGCTTGACGCGGGCGGCCGAATCTCACGGCCAACAGGGAGAATTCTCTGCGGGAACCAGTGGAGGAGACCTCTTGCATTTTATTTCTTCTTCAAGGTGCAAGCGTCACTGATCCCGACTTCCACCCACAATGTCGCGACGTCTCCTACAACACTCTTTGCGTTCGGTGCGTGGACCTGCTGTTCTTCCCAGATATCGAGTGGGAACAAGATGGGCGTCCTCGATATCACAATCTCCAGGATCGGACCAGTATGTTGACCCTTTTCGCCGAAATGTCTTTGCAAATAAGCCAACTAAATTATTTGCAGTGTCCGATTTCCTGGCGCCGTGAATAGCAAATTCACAACCAACTTGTCCTTTGTCACTCCGGCCGAACTACCTGCCATATCCACATATAGGGTCATGGATTCAGATGGAGTGATTGTTGATAAGAGCAGGATTCCGGATGTCCCAGATGAGGAAATCCTGACATGGTATAAAAATATGGTGCAAGGTGAGTTATACAGCCAGGTACTTTCATCGTGATATCTTCTAACTCTGGAACTCGCCTTCAGTCAGCATTATGGATATGATCATGTTTGAGGCCCAACGACAAGGTCGCCTTAGTTTCTATATGGTATTATTCCGGGATAAGGAGCATTAGGTGTTGCATTTTCTAATTAGATTAATAGGTATCGGCTGGAGAAGAAGGAATCGCAGTAGGATCAGCTGCAGCACTTTCTCCAGATGATGTTATTTTTGCGCAGTACCGAGAAACTGGAGTATTTCAACAACGAGGATTTACACTCAAACAGTTCATGAGCCAGCTATTTGCAAACAAGAATGACAATGGCAAAGGCCGAAATATGCCTGTTCACTATGGTGGAGCTAATGTTAAGGCTGTAATTGATCCCTCTATATCTATGTATTTCTTCCATTGATACTAACACTTCACACCAGCACACAATTTCATCCACCCTTGCCACCCAAATTCCACAGGCTTCAGGCGCCGCTTACGCCTTGAAACTCAAGTCATTACAAAATCCCAATGTGGCTCCACAAATTGTTGCTTGTTACTTTGGTGAGGGAGCAGCAAGTGAAGGTGATTTCCATGCCGCCCTAAACATTGCGGCGACAAGGTCCTGTCCTGTTGTTTTCATTTGTCGGAACAACGGTTACGCCATTTCCACCCCAACCCTAGAACAATACCGCGGCGATGGTATTGCAAGTCGTGGTGTTGGTTACGGCATCGATACCATTCGTGTCGACGGAAATGATATCTTTGCCGTTCGTGAGGTAACCAAGGAAGCACGCCGGATGGCTCTGGAAAATGGGGGCCGTCCAATTCTTATTGAGGCGATGAGCTATCGCGTGTCTCACCACAGTACCAGTGATGACAGCTTTGCATATCGGGCCCGTGTTGAAGTCGAGGACTGGAAACGTCGTGATAACCCTATCACCCGACTCCGCAAATGGATGGAGAACAAGGGTATCTGGAACGAGGACCTTGAACGTGAGACACGAGAACAGCTTCGAAAGGATGTTCTTGCAGAATTTGCTGCTGCGGAGCGTGAACATAAACCGGCTCTTAAGGAACTATTTACAGACGTTTATGAAGAAATGACCCCTGAACTTTTGGCTCAGAAGGAAGATTTGAAGCGCGTTATTGAAGCGTATCCCGATGAATATGACGTATCAGAGTACGACGGGGGGTTGAAGGGGTTATAATTTACCCAAATCCCCTACATCGGTCAACATATTGAACCTCCTTGATTTCTACCGTATCAATTTATTCCATCGATCCCAGTATATCATTTAACAATTACAAAATCCAAACTTGTCAGCATTCAATGATAAAAGATACGCAGTACCTTTATATCAAACACCCGCCTTGGCTGATAGAACATTAGGTTGTGGTTAGGAATAAATTCATATGTGTGAAAATCCTCAAGCCTGGCGTCTAATTTTGAGTGGGTGGTATGATTTATTTTCTTTTTGAAATGGAGGATTTGAGAGTCAAACAAAACAGTGTCTGTTGTTCAATGCCTGCTAACACCCGATGCTAGGGCCTTTTGGTCTTTTTTCTCATTTCTTGTACTATGCAGATGGTGGCCAATATTTGCTTGTATATAAAGCAATTGTGACATGGAGATACAGCCCATGAATAATATTTTAGCTTTACCTGGTTCACTGTTTTACCTCGTGTATCCCTGGAAACGCAGAAATATTATCTAGCTCTCGCAAAGCTATTGGTGGCTGACTCCTTACACATCTGTGGAAAAGCAAGGTAGCATCGAACACAGTCAAACCTGAAATTCCCCTAGAAACGGTCCTTAAGAACATAGTAAATATAAGGTAGCTCATCACTAATAGATCATCCAACTATCTGGACCCCTTCTGCACATTACATCTAAGAGTATGATATGCAACTCTAAGAACAGGATAAGGCCAATCCACAATAGTTAGCATAGTATTATAAAATCATTACAAGGTGCACAACTCTATGAGGAAGTAATTTTAGCACTTTAAGGATGCTGTAGAGCTAACCATAAATGGTAGAGAATGGGCCTGTGCTGTAGAATCTTTATGAAGTGCACTCAGGCATAATGAGAGGGAAATGTTCAAAGACCCAAAGACAGTACAACACATATGTTTAGCTGGGAAGAGACTCAGCACAAAAGTGATTCAAGCAATAGTCAAGAGGCTAGGCAAAGGGCCATTTCGCGTAAGTGAATAAAGCAAATACCAGAAAGCCAAACCAAATGCAGACCTATGCAAACAGAAGAAAAACAACCAATAATACTCTATCATGTTAAAAACAATTAGGTTGGGGTTTTCGTATCTGAAGAAGCGACAAATTCCAATGCCGCTGAGAGTGCCTGCTGCACAAGCTTTTTATTTCTCTTTACCAGAGCAGTGACCTTCTTATCCACAGCATCCACGTCCTTTCGAGACACCTCGAGGTCACGCTGGGCATTTTCGATCATTGAACGCAGCTCGCTGTCAGGTACATTCATGAGTTCTTCTAGACCTATACCAAGAGTAGCACCAGTAACAATAGCTTTGGTTGTTACTAACGAACGAGGAGGCGCCGTAACATTGACAGGATCCGTGCTATTGGTGATTGCCCAGCTGGAAGTTCGAGCAGAATCAGCTTCTAGAGCAGAGAAGACATTTGGAGGCGTGGCAGCAGGTGCTTGGTTAGATGAATTTGAAAGAATAGCAGGATCTTCAGTCGTGCCAGTGATCAAGCCTCCCCGGGAAGCATCATCGTCGACCCAACGAATATTGAACTTTTCAGGGGTCGCAAACAGAGCGTCTAGCCCACCACCTCGGTTGGTGGTGTCCGGTTCTGTGACAATAAACACTGGATATCCATGGCCTGCATCAGCTGCAGCTATTAAGCTTTTTTCAAGAGCAATATAGTGATCTTCCTCATCAGCAGAAAGATGCCGCAAAATGCATCCTTTGGCAGTTATGAGACACCTATGCTTCAAAAGGTCGGATCCACCGTTGATGCGGACTGGCTCTCCACGTAATAGCATTCTGCGATGCTCTTCAGTCAACTCGATTGGTCGTTTCAGATATTCGTAGTCATCAGCGTTGCATTTCATGTCCATACGCTGGTTGAGGTTGGGTGGGTTAAAAAGTGGGTGAATATGAAGATCCAGCTCTCCAGAGTTAAAAAGCTGCGCAAGAATAGTAGGTATTGGAGCAGTTCTTTCAAGGAACAGGTCCTTCATTGCCGCACCTGATTCTTCAGAGTCCACCAATAGCTGCTGTAGGGTGTTATTGGAGCGCCAGGGTTCGTGGACTTCTGGTGCCTCGTCGTCATGTTCGGTTTCCGCTAAAGATGTGGGTGCTGCCTCTGGTTGCTTTGGTGTGGTAGTAACGCTGATTTTGTCTTGCTCTTCTCCATTTACAATGGATGGGGTCTTTTGGCCGTCTTCAATGACATCAACGCCACGCTTCGAGGGCTTTTTTGTCTTGCGCTTCCTCCCAAGGATGGGTGCTTGGACAGAATCGTCGACCGGGGTGACGACCACATCATCCTCTTTTTTAGCTTCAGCCTGTTCAGCTTTTAATTTCCTTTGCTTTTTGACTTGATTTTTTGACATGGCACGAACAGGTGCCGAGCCTATCCTGCTTAGAGGTGGCGAGTTCGCCCGAGATGCAGATGCAGAGGTATAAAGGTCATATTCGGAGCCGACTTCCGCTGGTGTAGCAGGGCGACTGATGGAGGAAATGCTAGGCCGTCGTGACCGCTGCTTACCTGCTGTCACCGAGCCAGAAGCAGCACTGGGCGGTTGTATTGACAGGGTTTCTGATTTTGGCGTATCTACCACTCGTAGTACTCGTGGCTGGCGTGGAGCTGGAGAATCAGATATACGAGATGCGGGGGTATTTGGGCGAGAGCTAGTGATCGATGCGGCAAGAGGTGGGAGCTGATATGGAACAGAACTATGTGATGGAGAGGATATTTCTCTAGAGGCGTGATTAAACGAAATATCAAGCTTGATGGGCTTTGGTTTCCCATGATGCTCTCGCGCGCCATTCTTGCCGGCTTTTATTGGTGCTGGGTCTTCAACTCCACGCCCGGCAGTTTTAGAAGACGTAGAAGAGCGTGTTTCTTTAGAACTAGAGCCAAGATTCTTCGACTTAGGGGAACCTGAAGAGACTTCCGCTTGATTTCTTGCAGAAACAGACCTCAGAAGTGCTGGTGATTCAAGGATCGCTGGCGTAGAATCTCTGGATATGATAGAATTACGACTTTTTCGAGGAGGGGTAAGCCCTGGAGGTGGAGCGATTGCTGGTTGCATCGTTATGGGGCTTTTGGACGGCGATGGACTGCATGGCACACTGGACTCGTTGATAAGAGAAGTTGTAGGATGGCCGTGTGGAAGTGGTAAACCTGGTGGAACTGACGGGGTTTTATTTCCAAATGAGGACACGGGAGACCCTGTAGAAAAACGGGACCTAGATGAAATTCGAACATCGTCCATCACGGATTTTGGAGGAGCCAAGGGAGGAAAATCTTCATCCACTAGTAAAAAATTGTTAGCCTTATGACCCAATATGGCAAAAAAAGAACAGTGAAAATGCTGCAAGATCCAAAAAAATATAGCAACGCAGATTAAAGATAACAAAACCAGCTACAAGCTGGACTGGGAGGAATACAATGCTGAAACCATGACTACGGCACAGGACACCCATGCTTTGGAAAAAGGAAAGGGGGGAAAGCTCTATATGAAGAATAAATGTGAGAAATTGCTTTGAACATATTGCTGGGCTTGGATACAAGCCAAAGCAGGGAGGTTTAACGTACATGAAAAGATGGCCCATGAGGATCTATGAGCATCCGTGTAGCTGCTGTGAAAATGAACTCGAGATGCTAAATAAAAGCACCAGTGACCCCAGAATATCCCACAGAATGAGTAGATATGGTGCAAACGGTTGACGCCTCCCCCACCGATATTAGAGCAAAAATGCAAACACGCTAACGCCCAAGTCGTAAAATGTTGCATCGGTATGAGTACGGAGTGCTTCCATGTAGATATGAAACAAAAACAAACAAAAAAAAAATATAACAGCACCAAGCAGAACAATCGACTCCTAATAGTAAATCGACAAACGCTGTGTAATCATGATGAAAGAAAGGCAGGTATAAGCAAGGAGTAACCATGGGAAATCCGTAAAAATTGAAAGATAGACATGCTTCTTCGAGAAAGAAAAAGGGCCGAGAAAAGTTAGGTGGGTACGCAGAAGGTCATTACCATCTGGCAAAGCCTCCATTGAAGGCCATATTGGAATGGTTGTACCCACCTTGACCCTGACTCCCGTACAGTCCCTGTCCGGCAACAGCAGTCGCATTATTTTGGTGCATTCGCGCCTGCAAGATACTCGGGTCCGCAAGATCCACTACACCGCCTCCACCGGAGGAAGTGTTAGCATGTCTGTGCTTCTTCCCCCTTTTCTTCTGCTTCTGTGGCCCGGGGTCCTGGTAAAACCCGGGGTTGGGGCCGTAGAGCGAATTGAGAAGGCCTGAAACGGGAGCCAGGGGGGGAGGAGTATTGTGCTGGTGAATGAAAGAAGAAATGTACTCACGCTTTGTTGCTTCTAAACCCTGAACACCAATGCCACTTGTGCCATTTCGGGAGCGCATAAGCTCGCGCATCAAGTCAGCATTTCCATCTTGCTTGACGGTAAGACCCAAGTTATTATTCATAGTACTTGTAAAGCCATGGCCTTGAGCAAACATGCCGCCGCCACTAACAGGCGGAGTTCCAGCTGTCTTCAAACCCGGAGGGGGGCCTTGCACTCCACTAGTAAAATAGTGGCTGCCGAGCCCATGTTGAGTATTAGAAGCCGTCATCGGATTAGGGTTAGAGGCTTGCATTATGGCTGTTTGCTGATTAAGAAGTCGGTGGCTAGAAGCTTTGGTATTGGACTCATTAGGAAATGAAAATCGAGAAGATTGTCGTGTATGGCCAGTCATGGAGCCCATTGGTGGCATTTGATTTTGAAACGCACTTGATCGAGAAAGCGGATTATGGTCGTAGCCGTTATTGGAAGAGACGTGGAGTTGATCAAGTAGACCGCTTTGCTGGGTATTTGCAGATTTTAGAAGCATAAGTTGCTGCTGCTGTAATGAACTTAAAGCCCGCCCATTCACATTCAAGCTTTGGAACTGGCGGCCAGCGGCGACCGGAGACCCAATAGCAGAGTTTGATGAAGCTGCTTGGTGAGATGGTGGTTGAATAGCCTGTTGCTCACGGGCACTCCGCCCGGTACTTCCTACCCCAGGATGTGAGTCTTCAGGTTCGCCACCCAGCTGTGAACTTCCACCTTCGAGGTTCTCCTCTTCGGGTTGATTAGCTTGTAACATTTTAGCTTCGGCGTCTTGTTTTACTCTTTCCAGCTCCGCCTTTTCGCGCATAGCTCGCCTTTTCACACCGCCGTATGGGTCGATAAGGGAGGGGTAATTTTCGATATACGCCAGTTCATCCGCCGGAAGACCCGCAGGAGAAAATTGGAATCGAAATTCGGGCGAGTTGATAGCTTTCAGCAGATTGTCAAGAACAGTGGTAGTTGCATCTGATGACGCAGGAGGTCTTATCCGAGACACCGAGACAGGCTGTGTCGGGCTGGAGTTTGAAGGGCCTGGAGTTGGTGTATTCTGGCGAGAGGCTTCAATTGCCTGTTCAGGTCGCTTTTCGGCTGCCTGCCTCGCTTCCTCCGACTTCGTGACAGTTGCTGAGGCATATTTTGGACTCGGTGTACCCCGGCTTGCCGCCATGCTCGACCGCCTCGTGCGCTGCACAAGATTTTCTTTATTTGCCCAACTTGCTGAGGACGGAAGACCGGTAGAGTCACTTGTTTGCTGTCTATTTCCCTCGTCCTTATTGCTTTGGCGGTGCAAACCAGGGGGAGCTGACGGCCCAGGCTGACACGACTGCTGATACGCACGAGATTGGGAAGGAGGTATGCTAGAATAGCTGGGGTGAGGACGTTGAGATGAAATAGTATTCATAGAAGACAAATCCTGCCTGCTAAAACTGTCACTATCCTCTCCAGTCTCGTGGAGGAATGTGCAATTTCGGTTATTGCATTGTTCGTTACGCAGAAACGATGAGCAGTATTTGGTTGTACCATATTGTGCCCTGGAACATATTGTTAATGAATTATAGACAACTCTGCAAAACACTCTAACCGTACCTTAGTATTCGATCGCCATTTGTGGAACCATCGACGACGGCAATACAGGAGGCAGCGTCGCTTTTTCTGGCAAAAGTAACATACACTCCTATTCCCTGATTAGGGTTACCGCCCGGCTTGGCCTTGCTTACAACAATCTTTTCTATTTCGCCATATTGACCGAAGTACTGATCGCCTCTAAGGGTTTGTAACAATTGGCTTTCGTCACGAATTGTTGGATTGAGCCCGATGATATATACGAGGTTCTTCTGCACAACGCGAACTCCGGCGAGGTTTTTACGGCTCGAGGCTTCAATTTCGCGTCTTTCCTGTTCCTTTTTCTTTGCAGCAGCTGCTTTGCGGTGTTTCAACGCCAGATCTGCCTTCAGTCTATTTTGGATGTCATTAGCACGCGTAAGCTTTGTCGCAAAACCACAAAGATCACTGACTCATCTGCATCTGGGACCCGATATTGAATTGTATTTTCATCGTAAACACGTCTGCAATTCGGGCATCGACCCTCTTCGCTGTGGGTCTTAATATTATTATAGCAAAATTGGCATATCTGAGGAACATTAGAAAGGAATTATCAGTTAACGATGGTACGCCCCGCAAAAAGAAAAAAAGAAGAAGAAAATATCAAATAAACGTACTTGATAACCACAAGGGCATGGCTTGAAGTTCTTGTCCGATAAGTCGAATTCTTCAATACATAGTGGACTAAAACGAGGGTATTAGCATTGTCTTGGGTAGACGCGTATAAACACCAAAAAAGCGTACCAGAACTCATCGTCATCATCAATTACGGTATCATTCTGAGTCCTTAGAGACATTTTGTAAAATATTGTGAAAAGAGCTAAAAGTGCACTATCGAGCCTTCAGTCAACTGCGGAGACGGATGTGGCATAAACGAACACGTGTAAAAGCCGCCCAGAAAAAAGATACAACAAACGAATAAAAGGTGTAAAAAAATTCGAGTAAGAGAAGAGAAGAGGAGAAAAAGTGAAGTAAAGAAGAGAGGGATGTTAACGGTCGTTAGGTCGAAAAGTCGTGATGAGAGGAGAAGGAAGAGCCTAAGCGCGCTTAGCCTGATTAAGGAGTAGCTGACTCAGCACTTGACATGCACGTGGGGCCCAATGAATACGCTTCATTATTCTGATTATCTAAGCTGAGCTGACTATTAATTATATAAGAAAAGGTTGGCCAATCAGAATCTCGTAATTCGCATTCTTGAATCCGAAGGACATCAACGATCTGATGCGCAGTTGTCGTCACTGGTTTCCGATTGACCTGATTCCACAATGGCATCGACAAGGTCGATGATACGGTTGGCATCCCGTCGCTCTTTTGTTTATGCCCAGACGACGCGAACAGCGCGATTCTTTTCTGTGGCACCCTCTTTACATGAAGCGAAGATTGTTTCTGGCAGCCCGCTTCCAAATCCCCGGGATGAACAACGACCAGGTAAGTACACCTACAATCCTTCTCCTGCGATTCGGAAGTGACATGCTTAACTACTATAGTCATTGAGACACTTCACCGCCCCGTTGTGAACCCAGTCGACAAATATGCGGAAAAGTCAAAGGAACTTCATACATATGGCGAATACCTTATGTCCTGCCTGCCTAAATATATCCAGCAGATCTCGGTTTGGAAAGATGAATTAACCATCTATATTCCTCCCTCAGGTGTCATTCCTGTTATCACGTTTCTTAAGGACCACAGCGCCGCCGAGTACAAGCAGGTCACGGACATAACCGCAGTCGACTTCCCAACACGCGAATACCGCTTCGAAGTCGTTTATAACCTTCTCAGCGTCCGCCATAACTCCCGAATAAGAGTGAAGACATATGCGGATGAGGCCACGCCGGTTCCTAGCATCACTTCTTTGTACGATGGGGCGGTTTGGTATGAGCGTGAGGTCTACGATATGTTCGGCGTGTTTTTCGTCGGACATCCGGATCTTAGGAGGATAATGACAGACTATGGCTTTGATGGGCACCCCTTGAGAAAGGACTTTCCTCTTACCGGGTACACCGAGATTAGATATGACGAGGAGAAGAAGCGCATTGTTGTAGAGCCATTAGAGTTGACACAGGCATTCCGGAATTTTGAGGGTGGGACTGCTGCTTGGGAGCAAGTTGGAGAGGGCACAGACAGGAAACCTGATCGAGTAAGCTTATGATTCCGGTCATGTTCTTGTTCTTGAGGATACTAATAGTCCCGTGCCAATCTAGTTCAAATTACCAACTCCAAAACCCGAGGAAAAGAAGGAGGAACCAAAAAAATAGACCGAAATTTGTATACCAGACTTTCTTATATGTTTGACTACTCTCTGTAGCGCTTCTCTCCAAGCTCGGATTTTGCGAGAATGTACAGATTTTAAAGAGTCTGCCTTGTCGTGTTTTTGGCATCAAAAAACTTGTAGCTTATTCACGTTTGACCGCTTTATTCACTTCCGTTACCTCAAGATCAAGTAGGAATTGATCCCGTTCCCACATCAGCTCCACAGCTGCTCCTGCTACCCCAGCAATCAGAGTAAATGTAATCACTTTTAATGCCAAGGTGGATTTGTCAACTGACTGTCCATTTGTCAAATGGGCAGATTCATATAGAGTAACTGCCCAAACTAAGGCCGTTACTGTGCAGCATAAATGATCCCATTGTAGAAACCATAAGGCACCTACTCCCAATGACTCTGGTTGTTCTGGAGACCATGGAAACTTGTTTTGGAACACAGCGTTTGGCATAAGTAATGGAAGGATATCTGGGCTAAACAGTGTCGGAAAAGCTACAGCACTAAGCGATATTGTCCAGCATGCAATATGGGGCAATGAAGCGCAAAGGAAAGCAAATCCGTAAAGAAATTGAAGGCCACTTCGGACTTGGATTGGACCAGTTTTGGGATAAACAGAACCAGCACCAGCACCCATGATCTTGGTCATCGCGTATTGGAAAATGGATACCCATACTGGCCACATTTGCCAGAAGGCAATTGCTTCCTGCTTTGACGGCAAAATGCCATTTGACAGCTTAGGGGCAGCCATCCAGATAGTGGGAACAATATATCCAGCCATGATACTCCAAGGTAAGACTCTAATAGAAAGAATAGGAGCGCTTGCACCTTCTCTAGATGGGTTATAGGCTGTGGGCGAGGTATATAGGTGGAACATAGAATATAATGGCATCATTATGCCCACAGACAACAACTGGCAGAGCATGCCAAAAACCCAGGCGCTGAGATATCGTCAGCTTACAGGCTATCGAAGCAAGGGTAAAAGCAACATTCTTAAGCACTTTTACGCATTGCCGTATAAATGAAGCCAATAGTATCCACTCACAAACAGATCAAACGGCCTGCATTCGCCGTTCTTAGGGATTCAAGCAAAAGAAGGCACCATAACGCTCCAAGGGCACCTGCGAAATTTGCGGAGTGGAGGGATAGGTTTGGAGTACTTCCATCCACAACAGGATAGAAGAAGGCAATAAAAGGGATGAATTTCTCGTCAACAACTGGAATACCAGTCATCCGGTTGCGAAGTTGTGTGCCCCCGGGTAGAAGTTGAGAAACACTCACCTCTCCGAGCTTAGAGATAAATCCATTTTTGTTGGAAAAGTATCCAATTGAAATAGCAGCCCAGATAAAGCAGAGGGGGAGAGTATATTTTAAGAATAATGCCATAGTTGATTGGCAGTCTAGCATATACTAAGTAGCTAGGAATTGGATTGTGTGGCCGGCTTCTGATATGTAACTACATACTCCGTAGTTAACTAGTTATGTAGTTACTCCGTACTCCGTACTATGTAACTACGGAGTACATACAGAGTTTTCCAACTAATAACAATTCTATCATACTCTGTAGATACAACTCTCTGGCAAAAGCATTACAATTCTACTGACTCTGTTCTGGAAGCCTCAATGCCATAATATGTCTCGCTCTATTCATGACTTGCTGTTAAAAGGTCAAAATATCATTATCAAAGGACAGAATAATATATCCTACCGGGTAACTGAGGCTTTGCAGAAGAAGAAGAACGTTTTTAGGGCGTATGCTGAAAATACAAACTCACCGTATGCTGTGCCATCTTGTTTGTTATTTGACACTTCCGGCCCCCGTTTTATGTAGTGCCTCCAAGTTTTCTAACAGTTTGAAGTGTAGTAATAAAGACAGAAGAACGTCCACTTCTTTTTGAACGAGAAATCAACATATATCAGTTCAAATCCGTTCGCTATTCACCTTATATTCGGACTCTTCGTGAGCTGATCTATGATGACACTGACAAATGCATGGTTTTGGAATGGATGGATACCGATTTATGGTCATTACGAGCTGAAAAGTCCAAGCTGTGACCGTCCTTTATGAAAATAGCAGCAAGGTCAATTCTTGAAGCTGTAAAGGCATTTAATGATATGGATGGCCAAGGCCCGGCCGTGCACACTGGTAACTGACCCATCATCTTATATTCTTTAACTTTTGAAATATTGACCCCATCGCGGACATTAATCCAAATAATGTCCTCGTTTCTAATGTTGACACACCCTCGCCAATTATCAGACTCTCGGATCTTGGAAATGGTTAGTTTGAGTTGCTTGGCATATCAGAAGTATATTTATTCTTTTAGTGATTCCCTCTGGCGCCGATACCAAAAGTCGTGCCCAAGGCTTGTCAATTCGTGCTCCTGAGATATGGAAGGGTGTAGCGCCCACCCCTGCATGTGATGTATGGTCTGTAGGGGTTACCGTGAGTCCCCGGCTTTCATTAAGTCATACATAGAATTAACCCGTGTAGCTCGCCCATTTCCTTGCAGCTGGGCCTTTGTTTGGTATTGTGGACAAGACCTCTCGGATTCAGTCAGTGCCCCTTGAGACCAGCCAAGCTGCATGGGCTATTGGCAAGATCATCCAGATCATTGGACCGATCAAACGAGATGAAAACCCAAGATACAAGGAAGAATTTGATTATGCAGAAGGTTTAGTGGAAATGGGTATAATTAATATGGGCCCCTTGGAAGAAGAATTGTCGAAAACTGGTGCTCCTAAAGACTGCATTGAATTCATAAAGTATCTCTTGACCTTGGATCATGAGCAACGACCGACGGCAGCGCAGGCACTGCAGCATCCATGGTTAAATATACATGACTGAACCGAGATGGAGGGGTTGCTGATGATAGAGATTGAAGTACCATCAACCCATTATTTGATGGAGCTAAGTCAATATAGATGAAGCTAAGTGACTGATGATTATCTTTGGAGGTGAGCAATAAATTATTGTGCCATGACCTTTAATTCCAGGTTCAAATACTGCCATAGAAGACCTCACAGCACACACACCATAAATTGCCCATCCACCCTTCCTTCCTGAAGTTGATTTGTTATAGTTTACTTCAACTGTACCATCTATACTAACAATTGATGATGTTGGCAGTGAATGTCATGAAGAGCCAAACAGACCTGTTGGTCTGTAGAGTCAATGATGTATCATGTGTATACTTTCATTGTTGATGATGGTTATGTAAGTTCTACAGAGTACCTTTGTTGATATATAGATGGCAGGGTTCAGTTCACTTTCATGGTGCATGGAACTATAGGATCAGATGAGATTGAAGGATGAATCATAAGTCAAAGACACTGGAGAAGGTGATCACTTACTAGAGAACAGGATCTAATAGGAGAATTTGGTGAAATGCTGAATAAGGGGCCTTAGCCCCCCTTGGACATGCTACAGTTTGAGACTTCAATGGATTGGAGTTATGGGAGACCAGATATCAAGAATAGTACATGCTGTAACTAAGCCAGATTAGGGGGAGTAGCTCTTCATGAATCATAGCCTTAGACTGCATAGAATTCTAGGGTCCCCAGATGCCCAGGTGTGTGGTCAACAGATGTCTTAACTGATAATTACTGATTCCAAACATGGATGTTACCAGTGCACAATTGGTATGATGTGGGTTGAACTGTCTTCAGATGTTGTGAAGTGGCTCAACAGATCTTGGCATTGTATAATCAGATTAAGTTACTGAATATTACTAGAAGTACCAGAAGGTCTTGAAAGAACTCAGAATGTAGTAACTGTAACAAAACAGTCACTTACAAAGATGCTTAGTATGATGTTGTAAGATGATGAGTGGCTGTACTTTTCTACTATCTGATTACTACTGATAAGAGAGAACTCAGTGGAAGGTTTCACTAAGTCTGCATGATTCAGCTTATGTAAAGAACACAATATGTGGAGTTCACCTCACTTTGCTTATGTAAAAGAACACATTGTGTACACTATTCCTAATATAGTCTAGCTTGATTTTGTGTGCAAATCTCCCCCTCTCTCCACACTAATAATATTTCTCACTTTGCTCACTCTCACTCTCTTCTTCTTCTTTACAACTGCAACATCACAAAGATAAGCAGATTCTTCCATATTAAACTGCATGCTTTTTCAAGCTTTTAAATGTGCTCAATTTGAGCTTGAAAGTGATTTTATTACAGTCTCTCACTATGTGCATAAAATTAAGTTCTTTATGCAGAGATGAACAGAGATCTCAGCTTCAGTCCAAGACCAAGTCTTGAATCTTGCTTCTTGTTTGGCTTTTTATCTAGAAACTAGTAACTAATCAGTTGTTTTTGATAATAGATCAGCATCTATTCTCTCTATTCTTCTGCTGATTTACTATCAACATTCTGATCAATACAATTATTCACTACTAGTTATTACTGAATAGCTAATTATGACAGCATCAGCAGAACAAGATTCTGCTTCTGATTAGTCACAATCAGAAGAAACTGAAAATGTTCTCACAGTTCTCACTTCTACTTCTACTGTTGTCTCTGAACATGCAGCTGCTCTTGCAGTGTTAACTGATCTGAGTGGCTCAGTGACTCTAGCAGCAATTGCTGTGCTTACAAAAGAATTCAAAAAAGCTGATCATCTGATGCCATCTCAGTCAGAGAAGAGAAAGAAGCTTGCTGACTTGTAGACAATAGTTTCTTTGAATTACTACTGATACTTACTGATAGATCAGTACTAATCAGTAATATATGATAGAATTAAAAAGCTCTGCAACTGTGAAGCACATAAAGTCTGATGTTTTTGAGTCAAGAGTACTATTGTAAGTAGAGAGACTCCCACTACTTTATACTGATCACTAACAGTTTTATCAGAAGATTATGGCATGTGCTCATTAATGTTTCTTTTGCACATATGAAACATTCATGATCACAATAATAATAGTGGGTTACTATCAGTACTTACCAGTTACAATAGATCATTCAAAACAAGTCAGAATGCAACAATTTGGAAGCATATTCAAAAGTCACATATTGTAAGTCAAAGAATGTTAAATAACCACAACTGATTCTAACTGATAACATGTAGGATCATAAGAAGAATACTTGTTTCTGCAATCTTTATATTATGCCAGATATCTCTGAATGTTATCAGCAGTAAGTGATCACAATCAGTAATAACTCTAATATTCTGACTTATCAATCAACTCAATATAGTGAGGATGAAGATCTGTAAGTGACAGCCATAGAATCTATTGATTCTATCTGATACTTACTGATAATAGTGAGAATATCTATTCTCATTCAGAAGAATCTGAAGATGAAGAGAAGAAGAAGAAGAATGAAGAAGAGAAGAAGAATGAACTTTCTACTGCTCCAACTTCAGAATCTGTGCACAGACATGGATGTGGGTGTGGAGACTGTGCTTGTGACAGCCATGGTGATGATCAAGACACTGTGTGAGTCTAACTGTGTGTTACTGAATGTTACTGAAGTTACTAATTACAACTGATAGATGCTGTTCAGTCAGCCCAGCTGATGAGATCAATAGTGTTTGACAGCAAACCCCAACTTCTTCTCCCACAACTTCAAAAAGTTGTAAACAGTAAGTGACATCTTGTTACTGATGATACTGCTTCTTACTGATAATAGTGAGGCAATGAATCACTGTCAGAGCTGCATGAAAAGATCTCTTTCAACTTACTCATCTACAAATGAAAATTGCTGATAGATCTTTGTCTACTCTATTCTACTAGATCTTATCAGTTACTGACTAGCAATATAGAAAATTCCACCTCTGTGCTTCAGCTATCTCTTGCACTCAATGCTAACTTCTTTTCTTATTGAAGATTACTGAATAATGTGTCTTGAACAATTTGACATGAAAAATTGATTCTACTTGATTTTTACTGATAATTATTGAGTTGGAGACTTTATTTTTATGAGAAGAAATGAAGACTTTTGTTTTTTACTGATAGTTACTGATTTTTATGTTAATGAGGTTCAAATTGATAATATTATCTCTTGTTATTCAATATTCCTTGAGCAAATAATATATCTTCACTACACTCTCTTCTATGAAATATTATCTTCTACTGAGCATTATCAGTATTATTCAGTAAAGATCTTTTTGCTGTCAGTTCTCTCTCTCTCAATGATAATTTCTTCTGCTCTAGAGTCAAAGCTCTTTTTCTCAATTCTAAATTTCTATAAGCAATTTGAAACTCATTAAGATTTTCAATATCTCTTGAGAAGCTATCACTGATAGTATTTGATTCATTCTGAATTGTATCATCATCTTCTTGAGTCAAGTCAACTGAACTGAACATGGAGGCACTTGGTGCTTCTTGATAATGTCAGCAAACCATCAGTAACTACTGGTAGAGATTGAATAAGAGGAGTAATTACTTAAACACTCAGATGATGAGAATTGATTAAATCTCAGTCTTCTGTTTGTTCTTTGGGCTGATGAATCAGTAGTCATAGTATCTGTCCATTGCTTTTGACCTCTTCTAGAGCTAGATCTATTAGTAATTACCAATGAGTTCATGTTGCTCTGTGTTGATGTTGTAGGATTGGTTTGTTGATGGGCTGCATGTCTTTGATTGGCTATTGACAGTTAATATCCATATGGTTTGTAGTGATTTATATCAATAGTTACTAGTTTCTACCATTGACATTGCTTCTATGAGCCCATTGCTCAGCACTCTGATCTTTATATTCAGATCAAACATCAGTCTCTTCAAATGTTTTTAACTGTTGAATGTCATCAACATTCAATTGATAGCATCTGGATGATATCAGTAGTGTGTCTGATAGAATATGTCTTGAAATACAAACATACTCTTCAACAGCAGAGATGATTGAGATGTTGGTATCAGTAAGATTCAGTTGATGATGATTACTCTTAATAGCATTGATATTTCTCTGAAGGTTTTTGAATGTGAGATAATTCATTTTGGTAAATTCATCATTAAGTTCAGCTAGAATCCATGATGATTTTTTATGGACTGCCCACTCAGATATCTTACTGTTTGAATTCCAAATCAACTCATCAAGAGATCATCATACAACATTCTTACTAGAACAATGTGGTATTGATTCCATTAGATGTTGCTGGAATATACCAGATTGTGTCTGGTTAACACCACAAGCATAATGTACAAGGCAGAAAGCCAGCACATGTTGAACATGATCTTGTCATGTCCAGAATGAATCAAGATTCTCAAGATAACCATCTAGTCCTATTAGATATAACCAGTATCTGTGAGAATGTTTTGAGAGTAGATGGTTGTTATCAGAAGCTTGTTTGGAACACATATCTACTATAATAGCTTCAATGCTCTGATCATGAATGTGTTTCCATTCAATCTCTCTACCACACAGTATCTTCACTTCATAGAAAAACAGTTTAAATGCTTTGTAGTACATGACACTTGTATTCTGATTAATCAGTAGTCAGCCAAGGGTTATTACTGAATGCATGCAATTCAGATTAGTATTTACCAGCAGTGACCAGATGGTATCAGAAATATTCAGTTAACATACTTCAATTCAAATGAGAATGCATTGTCACAAAGTCAATGATCTTAATGTCATCTGTAATCTTTGAGAATGTCATATCCATCTGAAAGAATTTGAATTCAACTAGAAGTTCAGCTTGTTCTTTTAGTAGTAATACAGCAATAAACAGATTGCCATCATTGTAGATCTTGTGAATATATTCCTTGTTATTTTTCTTGTCAAGTTCCATTTTGAGTTGGAGTGCTACTGTGTATTTAGCATACATAATCAGTAGTCATCAGTAAGAGGGAATACCATTTGGATCTTGACCAGCAGAATGTAGTAATAACCACTTCTTCT